ATCGTACCCCAACCAGAATATCGCCAGACAGGCAAAACTTACCTGGTGTCGTAACTGGTGGGAGTTGCCTAGCCGTTAGTTACCCCAACGTCCCATCCCCAGGACGTTTAGTCGGGATCGGCGAGCCGATCGGTAGAGATCCGTCTTACGAAAGTTGAAGTGTATATATAGCCTTCTTATGTCACGTCAGATAAGATCAAGCCTGTTGGGAAGAGAAATCAAGGAGATAATAAATCAATGGTTCCAATCAATGATCTACGACCCATGTGTTGTCTAAATGACGAGCGAACTCGTCGCATTTCAGATGTTCAATGGATACATGGTTCGTGTTTGCTTACATGCTTCTTTATGTGAACGTCGGGTGAATCGCGGGACTAGGCTAAATAGAACGGGAGATTAACGCGAAGGATGGAGAATCGACGGTGTCATCCTTACGAGGGACTATGTGAAATGCGTTAGTGAAGTTTATCATCATTCGGTGTCGGAGCGAACTTATCCGGACTACCTCGCGGTGGCTCGGCTTGGTTGAGATGGTTACCACAAACTTTTCGATGATGCGACCATGTTTCACTGGGTACTCCCTTCAAGGTCTGTTTGTTGCGCGTTGTTAGATAGCTATAATATTCGTCTGTTTATAAACTGTTTAGGATTTACAAAGTGATTTTGATGATCCAGATTGCTTCACTTTCTTTCATCTATTTACAAACATTCAGTTAATATTTTTTAATTTCAAGGCTAAAAATTATGAAATTAGATTCACTACTCTTTCCTTCAAGAAGTAGACAAAATTTTCTCATGAATTTTTGGGTAAAGTTTAATAAATGCATAGGTTTTAATAATTTCTCATTTAATTCGTAGCAAAACTAGTTTTACGAATTTAAAATTTCAAATAATTGATTAAATTTTAATGGAAGTTTATTAGAGAGTAATTTTTGGAGTAATAAGTTACGCGGATTCATGAAAATTTGCGAGATATTGAAATCATTCGTCTCTTCAATCTCGATTTCCGATTTATTTCTGAGTAAAATATCTGTTTTGAATTGATTGAAATGTTTTACGAAACATTAGTATTGATATAAATTATATGAAGTATTTTTCTCAGCAACAATAGAAACGAAAGAAAAAAAGCTATTTTTATCTTTTGATTCTTCATTTTCCAACTATCTCATCTGTATCAGGTTTTTTCTTCATGAATATTTTTTCATTAATATCTTTTACAGAATAAATAATGATAATAATGATGAGAGAATATATTTTGAATAAACCGATTAATATACCAATGTATGTATATTAAGAAAACTTATACAAATTATTAAAACCTTTTGAACAGAATGATGCGATCGTTAAATCTTCTATATCAATAGCACATTCTTTATGAGTGTTACAATTAATACCATATATATTTATTATATATTTTTGTGTAATCATGGAAATGTATTTATGGTGCAGTTTGTTTTCTTCAGTTCTGTTCAGTATACTCAGTATTGTTTGATTCTATTATCATTCGAGTTTTCTCGAAAAGTTTAATGCTATTATAAAATACACTGGATTTTATATTGTCGATCTAAGTTATTTTTTTAATAAAAATTTACTTTATAATTAAAGTGACAGTTTTAGACATATTCACACGTTTTTGCTCAATATATTGCTTTTTTAAGAATGATAAAAAAGATTTTAAGAGGTTTCTTTCGAGTTCTTTATGGTCGTCGTAAATTTAAACTCATTGTCTGTCAATTCCAAGTGATTTTCTCCAAATTCACTAGAAAAAAGAATAAGATGAGAAAAATGTAAGGACGAAGAAAGTTTTCCATTTTGTTGCCGTAGGTATCTGTCAACGAAACGTAATACATAAATTAATCTAATAACTAAGTTAAATAATGCGATTTATCATTGTCCGAGGGCGTGGTGTTTCTAAAGAATGTAATTAGCATGAACAATTGATTGCCTGATGATTTATCAATTGGATACTAGATGCGAAAGTCTGCATTCACGGAAATCACGGTAGTAAATGTGATGGCGGTAAATAATTAGCAGTTGAGCAAATGCGCTTCCGTAAAATGAGCGCAAAAAAAGTTTCAATGATGGTCGTTAATTACTTTATCGTGAATAGAACGTAAGACTTCTTACTTTATAATTCTATCATTATAATGATTTATGAGTCGCACTGCAATTTTTCTTTTTTTTGCGAAAAGCAGGGGTTTTATTCTCGTCTAAAGCGCGATTTAAATTAAAATTGACATTAACTGAAGGACGTTGAAAACTTGGCGTTAAAGTCTCCGTGGACTCGTTTGTCAATTGAATACTATCGAATTAAATCAGAACTCATTTTGCAGAAATGAACGCGATCACCATCGGTGAACGCTTTTTCGGTGAACGTCGGTTGCACCCGCGGTGATGCATGGCTGCGATTATGCAACTGTTCTGCGCAATCGGATAGCGGTTTTCTTTTTCCGCAGGTGCTTTTTGCCGACCGGGATTAGTCGAAGCCTGTTTACCTATCCTTTGTCTTACGCGACAAAATGTTTTATCTATCCTTCGTCTTACGCGGAAATGCGTTTAATTATAAACGAAAGCGTGCGACCGTACTTCGCCGCGTTTTCTCGTCTCTCGATAACGGCATTTTATTTTCATATTTTTTCCGAACTGGCGCAAAATGTGAAAGTACAATAATGCATATTATCTTTCTTATTGCGCTCGCGAAAAATCGCGATTGAATCATTTTATCGGGAATTAATCGTTTTGCTCATATGAATCTTATTTATGAGGATAATATTTTGCATTCGAAGAAAAGTGAAAGCTGCATGATCGATCATCTCTCTCAGCTTCCTTCTTGTCGCCAGTTATCTAAACGATTTGTCAATAAGAATAAGAGCGTTAAAAATCACGGAATTACTTTAATCTGTGCATCATTAGTGCAAATAATATTTATACTTTTGTTAGTTTCAGGGAAATTTTGAGGAAAAAAAAGAAAATTTTTTTTTTAAGTTTTATGAATACAATTTTCATTTTCTGATTTTTCCACTTTACATTTCTACGGACTATATGTTTGTGGATACTAAAATTTCCGAGATTTCTTATAATAATAATTATATATATATATATATATATATATATATATATATTTATTTATATATTAATATTACAAAATGGAGAAAAATCAAAATCTCTATTTTATTATCAAATTAAAAAATCGGAATGAATAATGAATTTGGTTTTAAATAATATATTTGGTAGTGAGATTTATTTATTGGAATGGTTTTTGCATTTAATGTTTTTATGACCATGTGCCATAAATTTTAATATTGCAAGAAATCAAAATTTAAATTGGACTTGAATCAAAACTGAAATTAAGGATATATAATATATAATAAAAAATAACAATAAGGTCACAAAAAATTCTATATCTGTGTATGAACTAAAACAGTACTGTGCACATCTTCTCGAAGATCGAAATAATATACTTTTTGATGTTAGTCTTTAACTGTGACATGTTAGTCTTTAATCTTGTTATTATATTTTATTATATTTGTTTAAAAATTAATTCAAATGTTAGTTTTTTGCAATATTAAAATTCATGACTAAGAAACATTAATATTGCAACAATTTTATATATATATAAATATATAAATATATATATATATATATATATATATATATAAATAATTGTTATTATTATTAAATATAATTAAATATTATAAATATTATTAAATATTATTTGAAACCTAATCTATAGGTTTTATTTCGGTATTTTTTCATTAAAACTATTCTTACTCTTATTTTTTTATCTACGGAAGAGTAAATTCTTTTATATAGCTCTCATATACAATGGTATACAAATAAAACATGATATATAAATCAACCTCACCTTTTACATAAGAATGCATTTTTTAAAACATCGATTTAAATAGATTTTTACGAACATAAGACATAGTTAATAAATCGATTACGTAATCTATAGTTAATAAGTCGATTACGTTAACAACACACGTGTCGTAACTATAATAAGATATCGCTTTACGATAAAACGCTGATCGCCGTCTCGCCTGGATGATCGGATTTTTCGTTGCGTTGTCATTGAGTGTCCCTTTTTTTCGCCGATTATGTCGCGTCTCGTAAGAGCAAGCGCAAGTTTTTCTTTAAATATGCGATTGCGCGTCTCTTTTTTGCCCATCTAATCCTACAGCTCATTCGTCATTACAGCCGGTCACTCTCTCGGCGATTGTAATCCGTTCGCTTCGAAACTGTAAAAGTCGCGAGTGCAGCTCGTTTCTTAAAATACCAGTCGAGAGCCTCGAATAATAGAAACATTTTACCACAATGAATTAATTACAAGCATCCTATCTCAGGGAACATTAATATAATGCATCGAATTACTTATCTCGCATTTAAAGTTCGCATTAAAGACTCGCTGCGTCTTGGAGTAAATCATCGGCAGTAAATCCCAACGACTCTATTTCCTAGAGCGCCCCCTCTTTCTTTAGATCGATAATCGAGATGGTCGTCGTATAACGCGAAATTAAATAAGCCAAGCAAATTATACGCTATCATTGTTGTACGTCGTAAACCGCGCCGGGATTTATTGGACTTATCGATAGTCGCTCCAGCCGCCCGCGCTTATAATTCCTTCTCTTTCTTTTTCCCTCACGCCGATCTCTCTCTCTTTCTCTCTCTCTCCTTCCTTTTTTCTCTCTTTCTACGGTCTTCGAGAGAAAGAAGTTGAATCAAGCACAGTAACAGCGATAAATCCAGGTTACCCTCTTTATGTGCCTTCGAATAATCGCCGCTCGTTCCCTCGCTCGATCACTTCCGGTCGGTTCGGAAATCAAAGCCGTCCGAAGGACGATTTCTCTCAATCGCGCTTCTGCGATCGGAGTAAGAAGGAGAAATGATTTCATGTAGAGAACACGACGATTATTATCACGGTCGAATTATATTACATGCGAAAGATTTTTCAGTTGTGAGAAAATGACGGATGATGTAAGCGTTGTTGCTTTTTGCAGAGTTAGGATCGATACCGGGCCAGGGCCGCGTAAATCAGCTCGGCGGTGTCTTCATCAATGGACGACCGCTACCTAATCACGTTCGGCTCAAGATTGTCGAGATGGCCGCGTCGGGAGTCAGACCTTGCGTTATATCGAGGTAGGCGATAGTAATACATTTTCCCTAAATAGAAGAGGAAAGGGAGAAAGTCTCTGGCGAAAGTTAATTATGTGCTTTTAATTTTTTTACGAAAATCATTATATTATAATTATTTATTTTATTAATTATTTCCCTTTTTTGGTAAAAAGAGAGATAGGGGGATTTTTTATCTCGGAGATTTTTCCGAATAGTTCTCTTCTTTTAATGATAGTTTTCTAAAATAAAATAGAAATTCTGCGATGTCAGAATTGAATTAATCTATTATCGTATCTTATTGAGGGCAGACAATTAAGGGTTTCTCACGGATGCGTGTCGAAGATTCTAAACCGCTATCAGGAGACGGGTAGCATCAGGCCCGGTGTCATCGGAGGGAGCAAACCTCGCGTGGCTACGCCAGAAGTGGAGGCGAGGATTGAGGAATACAAACGTGACAACCCGGGTATGTTTTCGTGGGAAATTAGGGATCGGCTTATCAAGGAGGGTATCTGTGACCGGACCAGTGCACCGAGTGTGTCCGCGATTTCTCGGCTACTCAGGGGTCGCGATCCGGAAGACGACGTCAAACTTGGCGACGGTGAGAGATTCCAAAATAGCAGTTTCGCTTCTACGAAGAATAAGATTCATTCGACACTGCTTAGAACGTGACATAGAACACGAATAATCATTAATTAATGTGACATTTGCACACAGAAATCTAGCGTATTTATGGATAATCTAGATTCTTTCTACCTCAGCAGATATGAAAGATATATTTTTGAAAAAAGAAGAGAAAAATATCATTACTTTATAGAGCTTTGTATAATTTTTTATGATTCGGCCTCGATGAATCAATTAAATTAATGATTAATTAAGTAAGTATTATAAACAAGTTTTTTAAAAAAATTGAATCTTTGAAAATGCGAATTTGAATTAAACGTCAATTTGCATTACGAGTGTATTGATTTCAGTTTATTCATACTGTGATATGATTATCTCTAATCCTTTACACATAAGATATCTCATCTGATGCCGATTTCTATTTTAAAGCATAAATAAAAAAATAATTCATTCTTCGTGGTACTATTGCTCGATGGAGACCTTCGCCGAAATTTTCCCGATCAACCATACTAATGGCGAGTTTTTCGAAGGGGAGAGTCCATTTTCTCTCTTCCTGTCCGGATTTCTTTCCGCGTCCCGCATCCTAACGGAGATTGATGATATCGCCGAGCGAATCGGCGAATCAGTCCGGATGCCGAGGATCCTTACACGGAATTGGATTATAACGACATTGGGGCTCGCATAAGCGGACCGTGGCCGCTCGTTACATGACGCCTGTTAAAATTGAATCAGCCACTTTTTACATTTTTTTTTCGCGAAATACGCAAGATTTCGCAAAAATTGGCAACGCGCGAGACAAGCAAGCAAAATCTCAAGAAAAGTGTCTTTTGAATTTATCTCTCTACTTGTGAAAGTTAACTACCCCTTTGGAATACTCGAAATTGCTTGGAATCATTTCTCAAAAGGGTATTGTAAGAACAGACACGTTTTTCTGTCGGGTCGTATTTCATTTTGCTGTCTTGCCATAGATTTTGACAAATCTCGCAGCATGTAATTTGTTATTTACATCTGAAAAGGTTTGTTTTTGCAAAATTTTCTACGAGAAAACGTCTAAAAAAAGGATCAATTCAAAAGGATAAATCAGTGGCCTATTCTTGTAATTTACCGCCAAACGACCACACCGATCATGTTTTTTAACACAATATGCGTTTCATTAAGCTTAATTTATGGCTTTGTTAACTGAGTGACACTTTATAGTTTTGTGACTTCACCGGGTGTATATATAAACGGACAACAAACTATTGATTTGTTTAAACCCATTGGAATTCTAGAATACTAATACGAGGGCGATTGCGTTTAGTGAAAGGACCTCTCGGAACGCTTCATCACCTGGCCCACACAGTGGCGGACCACCGTGTGGGAGCCACGCTCGCTCGAGTAACGGTATGAATGAGTAAATTAAATGCTCGCGTATTAATCGACCGCTCCTGCGTTTCTCGGTCTCGGAAATTACCGGTTCGCCGTCTACCAGATCGTCCTCTCCCCCGGTAGCCGCCACGGCCGGGCTCTGTAATTTTCTCGCCGCCCGGTACATGCCCACGTGTGTACGGGAGGCTGCGCGCGAGATGTTTGGCCTCACTCGCGTGTATAAGCGTTGATCGTCCTCGAGAAAATCGACGGTCGATGAAGGACACATCTCGTCGGATGAATCAGGCATTTTTGGCACGATTGTTGGCAAGTGTGCCACATGAGAAAACATAAAAAATTGAAGAAATTTCATATACGTGCCGATGAAAATGACATTTAAAATTTATAGATTAATATTAAAAATTAATATTGAATCAAATTTTGAAAATAGAATTTATAGTAATAGAGTAACAAAGTTGGCAAATTTTGTACAAAACCTATTTTAGAACCTACTGTTATGAAAAGCGACAAGATGGATGATGATAAATGAATGCCAGCTTTGTAAAAAATCTGGAAATGAGCATTTGTGGTGACTATATCTAACATTTTAAAGGAATTTTCACAAAATCCAATTTGGCGCCAGTGGCAGAAGAGAGAGAGAGAGAAAAGATTTGTTTCTTGACAAGACAAATGAAATGTGACGTAGATCTATGCTATGGTCTGAGAAACCTCAAGTCGGCGAAGATAAAAGAGATTATGGTTAGAAAGAGAGGAAGGAGGATTCATGCGTCTGTAAATCGATCGTTGTGACGGTTGGGCGCCCGTCGAAAAAAATAAAGAAACCAGGACAAAAATAACACAACACTCGTAGAGGGGTGAGAAACACCGTAAAGGGACACCGTCTATTAAATGCTCGCGCGCGAAGTGTACGAGTCGAGTTGCCAGAGCTGTCGAGATGAAGTGACGCCTTTGTTTGGCAAACGTGTCGGATTGTTTTTCTCGCATATGTGAAACGCATTCGGCGATATAAGTCGAAAGGCCAATTGGACGAGGAAGATGAATGATTAAACTCGCGTATTGTAATTCGGTCTAGTAGCATTATTCTGTTTATTAAAACAAACGAATGATCTATACATGAATTGCTTCAAAAATAATTCAAAAAATAGACAATTAAATAGAAAATTAAAAGAAAAATAGATAAGTAAAAAAATAGATAAATCATTGGCTCTTTAATCCAACTAAACAAAATGTTTAAAAAAAGGAGTAAAATATTTTAAGGGAATTTACATAAAAATTAATTCTCTTTCGTGGCTGTTATCCTTGTCGATGCGCGTGAAAAAATCTCAAAAATCAGAGAAGAAATTATATCTTATGCGAAGTTAAGCGTTCGCGGCCGACTGGTAATTCTTGAAGTTTTCGGAACCCGGTATTAGAGCCGCGGAATAAATAATTGCCAGGTTGGTGCAACCGGTATACTAGAACGTAATACGTCATCGCATGCAGCAGTTTCTTGTCGTTAGCATTTAAAGAGAACGTTTTCCATTATCCTAAAATACATGTGATCCTTTGTCACAGAAATGCAATTATAAACCGTCTAATAAAGATAGAGTACACAATACAAATTCCTGACACAAGATGAAAAAAAAAAATATAAGATGCTGCTCACATTTTTCAAGAAATTCTTAAGGCGTCTACCTGCAAAGAAAGGACGTTGACTCCTCCACTCGCTATCGCTCCAACAATAACCATTTCGCCCTCGCATTTCGGAAGGAAGTGATTACCCATCTACCTACGAGCTCCTGTGGCGACACATTGTCGAGGCTATTTCTGATCGTTCATCGTACGTGGACATGGGCACGATCAAGCCTGTTGGACCACATCGTCGTCCACACTATTTCCATCCGCATGCGGATAGGTGTCGGTGGATTTGTGAAACTCGACGAGAGAAAGAAAGAGAAAGAGAGAGAGAGAAAGAGGGAAAGGGAAAGAGAAGGCGAAATAATCCGATGGCGGAGGCGGGTGGAAAAGGAACACGGCGACGGGCCGGGAATAGAGCCCGTGTCGAATTTGCATTAACGCGACCCGTCGCGGCGTCAGGCGTCGTCGCCCGATTAGTCGCGGGCCGTGTAAACTCGAACCCCGAAACCGACAACGCGCACTGCCGTACCCGAGGAAGCAAAAAGTGTCTCCTCCGTGTCCTGGGCATCGTCTGCCCGTCACGTGCTCGTCGCATCAAGTTCCTTGCACGATGAAAGAAAATGCGCGCGAAGGTATGTCTCTATTTCCGGAACTTAAATATAATTGGACGCATCTAGACGAACGTGATAGGCGCGCTGCAGTTTAAGAAGTTTATCGGTATTTCTATCATTCAAAAAAATCTCTTGCTGATATAGATAAATTTCTAGGGATAACGATAAATAACAATAAAAATTTGTCGCTATTTTTTTTATCTGCTATTGTTTGTAATACGTGGAATTTATAGCAGCAAATTTTAATAATATCTTCTAACAAATTTAGGCTAATGGAAAATTTAAATGGCCAATGGAAATTTATCCAATGGAATGCTTATAATTATTAATATTTAAATATTAATAATTATAAGCATTCCATTGGATTTTTGAGAGAAACAATTTTTTTATGTGTGACAATCAACATTTTGGTTAATTTTTGTACTCACAAAAATTGCTATAATTACAAGACGTTTTTTTGAATGTACGTTAAAAAAAGGAAGATAAAAAGTAAAAGATGCAATTTTTCTCGCGTAATATCGCATTATTTGCAATCAGACAAAATTCATTTTCATAAATATAACTCCTCATTGGTTAGTAGCTTCGCAGTTTGTTTTTAGAGGATCAATGTGTCGCGCTAACGTCAAAAAGCACCGCGTGGATTAGGGGTCAGGTGCTTATTTCACACTTGATTTAGGATCAACATGTTTACACCCGCACGATCTCCCTCGACCCACCTACCTTTCCCACCCACTGCTGCTGAAAGTGCGGTCGTTTTTGTCGAACGAGGCGAACCGCGTTTTGTCACTCGTTCATCACGTCACGTATAATTGTTTTATGCGATTTCTTTGTCGCTCGAAAGCTAATGGCTGGCAATGAGTGTTTCGTAATTATTTCATGGCCTAATCGCGCAATCTTCTCGTCGACCTTGAGCTCGCTAAAACTATAATATCGTATTGTTTGAAGCAGTTTCTAATCGTAACAAACAATGTGCAAATTATGATATAAATTAAAATGAAAAATAGAGTTATGTTCAATAAAAATTCAATTAAAGGAAAAGTAAATATGAGATATATAATGTAAAAGATTATATATGTGTATTTGAGTTGCAACGAATATTTGACTAACTATTCCGTAATATTTTTCGGTATTTTACAATTCTATTCTACAATTCTATTATTAATATTTATAATATTTGAATATTAATCCACTACTCACCCAAATACCGAATATTTTTAAATATCCAAATTGAAGGAAATAGTAAAATTATAGAGTTACAGCGAATAGTATTGTATATTTGGCACCCAACCGCATATCGAATATTAGATTCATGCTATTACTATTTACTATTTCCTTGGACATTTAAAAATATTTAGTATTCGGACGAATAGTAAAAATAGATAAAATACGTCGAATAGACAGAATACCGAAATATTCGGCCAAATATTTGTTACAACTCTAATGTATGTATATTATATATAGAATGTCTCATTTTAATCTTTTTACGTAATTATCTTCCAAATTATTTACGTCGAATTATTTTCATCAAAAAAAATATTTCAGGATCTTATTCCGTTTTGAAACTATGAAAGATTTTCAATCGATGAGTTATGCGATCATTTTCAATTTTGAACTTTACGTTGGAACGTTGGAGAAGAGTTTTTGTGACAAATTAAAAATCTCTCGTGTATACATATATATATATATATATATATATATATATATATTTATTTATTATTATTTATTTGTCTAATAAAATGCAATTTTTTTAGGTAAAACGAGTTCCGGATCCGACTGCGATAGCGAACCAGGGATTCAATTGAAGAGAAAACAGCGCCGGAGTAGGACGACCTTTACTGCTCATCAGTTAGATGAGCTGGAACGAGCCTTCGAGAGAACTCAGTACCCCGATATTTACACTAGAGAGGAACTTGCCCAGAGGACGAGGCTATCAGAAGCTAGAATTCAGGTATGGTTCAGCAATAGAAGAGCAAGATTGAGGAAACATCTTGCTTCGAGTACCAGTGGATATGTTAGTTCTGTATATCCGGCTCCCCCGTACGTTATTCCCTCATCAGCACCGCCTCATCCACATCATGGAGCGACAGTGCCACCGGGTCATCCTCATGGTCAGAGTCTGTCAGACGCGGCGTTTGCCTCCGGTCAAGGTAAATATAATAGTAATTCTTTTCTCTCAAGAAAGGTAGAAATCTAAACTATATTTGATAGATATTTTTGTAAAAGAGATTATAAAATATATATTTTACCATGCCTTTAAATATTAGTGTGATTTTGAGCTTGGAAATAATATAATTTTTGATTTTATAATTTTATTAAGAAGAAAAAAAGACAATATGAACGTAATTAAATTCCAGAACTGTACTCGTCTCATCACGCACCAATGTCTCATCAATTGGCAACGGATTCTGCGGCACGGCTCTCTTCGTCCATCGGATCGACTCCGGCTTACAGTTTTCCGCCAGCGGTTACTTATCCTAGCGCGATGCTTCCGTCGACCACGTCTACGACGACTCACATGACTCATCAGGCGACTTCCACATCGTCCAGTTATCAGCAAACGAGTGGTCATCAGCTGCCGCCTCCGAGTCCTCTCATCACCATGATGGGGCCGAATTCTGGCAACTCGAACTCCGCTTCCGATCAATTAACTTCGTCGGATCTGCCCATCAGTTCGGTTTCGCCTGTTCAGCAGCAGCAACAACAACAACAACAACAGCAACAGCAACAACAGACTAGTCACGGAGCGACATCGACGTCATGGAATCTCGCGATTACCGCCAACAGCGGTAGAGTCAATCTTCCGAGTCCGCCATCCACTTTACAATCTCACGCCTATGGCGCTCATCCACATCAGGTAGGCACTTTCGCCAGTCATTATTCCGCGCAGAATTTTCAACCGCCTAGGCCGACACCACAATATTGGTACTGAAAAAAAAAAGAAAAAAAGGTAGGTAAATAATAATATACACAATGATTCATCATTTGTATACTAAAATTCATATGTGAAACTATCTATAATACGAATCATTAAATTGTAATACAGTTACAATATGTACATAGGGAGATGAGTAAAATATATATTTATATGCCATGAACATTTGAATAAATTGTGTATCAAGTATAAATAAAATTATATTAATAGAATTAAAGTTAAAATAAATAAATTAATATCTTTATGCGCGATTCACTTATTCAACATTTAATTCATCTCGTATTCTCGTTCTCTTCTTCTTACAGCATATTTTCTTTGTATTGCTAGACAAAATTATTCGAATATATTATTAATCTAGTGTTTTTTGCCCCCTTATAAAAACAATAGAGCTCGTAAAGACCGAGAAATCTCATTTATTAATTCAATGAAGGCAATTATAATTAAAGTTTGTATTGTAAAATATCATGTAAAGAATTTCGTGATAATTGCTGTAATTTGTCAGGTTGTGTAGTTTCTGCCATTGTAGAAAAAATTACACTTCCTATAGATTTACTAGACTTTTTTGAGTGTATTATGATTTAGTTATTTAGTACATAGTATTGTACACATATTTCTTTATCTCTTAAATTTGTACATACTTTTCGTTATATAAAACTCACATAAGAATATTTAACGTTACATCGACGGTGACGTTATTTAATAACGTTATAACATACATAAATCTTCAATTTCTCTTACAATGTTTTATATTTACAGTTCGACCAAAAACTTAGTTTCTAAATTGTAAATATTTTTAAATTCTCTGTATTGTACACGATATAATAAACGCAATTATAATTTATCGCGGTTTTCTAGATGTATAAGAAAGGTTTTTTTATAAAAATATTCACTTTTAAGATAGATTTTCAGACTTTTAAGATCTTTCTCTTTTGAATAATATTTTAAGCAATTCAAATCTTTATGTAATTAAATTTTTGAAAAGAATGTTGGCTGCCTATCAAACATTGTATATTTAAACTATAAAAATAAAATCGTATTGCTTAAAATAACCATCGAGTACTTAATATTATTGTAAGTGTAAATATTATTGTAATATGTTTATATGTTTTTTTATATTAGCTTGAAAAAACATATTTAACATAATATTTATATAAATAACTTCATTATTATTTATATAAATTACTTATGATGAATATTATATATAAATTAATTGTAAATAGATATTTTACACGAAATATTATTAAAAAGTATTATGTCTTTTAAAAATATTATTTTTATTATTTATTTTAATAAATAATTTTAATAAATAATTTTCATAAATAATATTTATATTTGATATAATCATTTTGCACAATACAATTATTCGTACTCGATGATCATTTTGTACAGTACAATTTTTTTCAGTTGTTTTTATATTATATTTTAATAATAATATTTTATAATTAAATGTATAATATTATAACATTATATTTTGTGATTGTAATATTATATTTTGATGGATAGTTTACAATGTATAATTTTATAATTATATATATACTTAATAATTTCTTAATTTTAATGATTTTAAATGTAGAAAATAATTGTTTTGTCGCTTGTATGTACAAATTTTAATTAAGTTAAATAATTAAATCAATAAGTTAATTAACGATTTATTACACAGAATAAGCGTCAGAAGAGAAGAAAAATTAGGAAATAAATATAACTGATCAATATACATTTGCCTACGGGTGAAAAATTTTTAGTATAAATCTTAGTATAAATTTTGCTGTTTGATATTGTAATAATGAAGTAAATGATGAATCGGTCTACAATACTACATGTAATATAATGAAATAAATGATGAATTGTTACATTTTCGCAATAGTGGTATAAATATAATAATAATGATTTAAACTTTCCCTGCAGTTAATTTTATATGGATTATTGGATTGCTTCTGATACATAATTACTTGTAATGAATTCAAAAACCAATTGTTATTATTTAGTCACGTTTGTGTACATTTTTCCATATTTTCTTATAATTAAAGCGAAATTTATATATTTAAAAATTTCGCAGGCATTATGCATGTGTATACATATATATGTATTTATCCAAGGTATATGATGTATAAAATATCAATACTTTTCAGAAATTAGACAAGATTTACATTTGAATTTTTATATGCATTAAAATATAATTGCAATTTTGAAATAACATTATGCTATAGTATTTATATAGTATACTTATATCATGTGTGTACTTTGCATATGAAACGAATACATTATATTCGTAGTGAATATACTGTATCAACATGTGCAGTATTGTACAAAATCAGCTAAGTGAGAATAATTAATATCAGCAGATTTATAAAAATCATTAATAGATGAGACAGTTATAAGAATATTTACAAATCGAGGGTTACGAATTTTATATGACATTGGCAAACCTCGTTTGCAACAACTTAAAAAGAAGAACTAATATGTTCTTGATAATTTTGTATTACGATTTTCTATTTTCTCGTCAGAATATTAATATACAATGGTTGTGAGACACTATATAAATATGTGTATGTATATGTATATATATTTTATATAGTTGCTAAATAAAAATTTAAGTGATACTTGTAATATTAATTTCCTTATTTATTACGATTTGTATTTATTGATTTTTAACAAAAGTAAAAGGATTAAGAAATATACTAACAACACTATTTGATTATATAACAAAGGAGAAAGTTCATATTAAAAATAATCATCAGGTGAAAAAATACTGTATCTATAAAGTGCAGATCAAAAAACGCTCTTAGTGATCCTTCTCTTTTCATTTTTTAATTTTAATAAAAATTATCTCTAATAAAAATTATATCGTATATTGATTAATCAAAAACAGTAATTTATAATACATCGTTACAGTGAAATATATAACGTAAGTTCTTTTATAAATAATAAAAAATTGATTTTATTATAAGATAATAAAATCTAATTTGCATTATCAAACAAATACAAAATCTCTTTGCAATTTAAATCGCGATGCTCAATCCTATAAATCAATGTTGCTTATAATAATTTCTTCTTCGTCCATCTCAATTGTAATATACCCTGTGAGCAATTTGCCTGCTTCTCTTTTGCCACTCTAGAGGGACTTAGAAACTAGATTCCAATTTTTTTATCTATTTAATATATTTAATAATTACTGCTAATTTATTTGTCTATAAACGTTTCGTCAAATAATGTTTATGTCAATTACAATTTCTTATTAAACTGTATGAAGATATTTTTTAATGTTATTTCACTCGTTTCGTTCGTTATAAATTATTAATTTTTAACTTTGCTTCTAGAATTTTTCTATCTATGTTTTCGTCTTTTCTTTGTTTGCGTTTTCGATAACACAACCATTATAAAATAACATTATCTATAACGAATATCAAGTAGTAAAAAGAGATGACTTTGTCTTTGGTTACCATCGTTAGATATAACTGTACGATGATATAGCCGAACGAGATGAAGATGAAAGTAGTAAACGGCTCGAGAATGCTTACATCCTTGGTGTAATAAAACTCTACAATTATTATGCAAGGAACAAAGCCGTTACAAAGCCAAACATTCCAGACATCTTGTTTAATTTATTTATGTTCAATCAGTTTTAAAAATCACACCTGAATATATCAGGAATTTTTCAGAAAGTTAACATCCAAAAAAAATTTACTCTATTCCTATAACAGCTGTATTTCATTATATTTCATCATTTCATCAAACGTAGGCTTTTATAAGAATTAATTTAATTATTTACATTAAATTTAATTAAGATTAATCTCATTAAATTATTTAATTTATATACTTGAGTTAAAATTAATTTTTATTAATTCTTCTTTTAGTGATATACAGCTAATATATATATATTGTATCAGATGGTTATAAATTAATTAATTTTATCTGCAAAAAAATGGCAAGACATTTCGAAAAATTTTTAGTTTCAGTATCGAATGCTGATAATAATGGATTTCGTGCGCAGGAGTCATAATAATAGATCACTAAAAGAGAATACACAAAACTTTATAAAGAAAAATGTTTAAGTTAGTTGTAAAATCAATCAAAGATAATTTCGTTTGCATTGCATCGACAATTATTGTAATCCAAAAAATGCTTTCTTTCGAAGATGGGAACCTCATGACATATTTTAATGATATAATATTTTAATAATCAAAATTTCTATTTATCATTTTAAATGTCAAATGTTATTCCTGATATATATTTATAGTCAGATATATCCTAAATCTTCAGATATTATCTGTATTTTAAATTATAGATAAAATTGTATCCCCAAAATCTTACTGCTATTAGATCATTAAAATAAGCTTTATCTTATCAAACGACGCGGTAGTGTCCCGATGCCAAGTACATAAAAAACTGGATGAAAAGATTATAAAGATATATAAATTATAAAGATATATAGATTAATATATTTAGGTAAAAGTGCATAAAAGATTACACAGCACAGATTTTACTGCCGCCTGAATATGTGTAGAGAAGATTATTTTAAGTAATTTCCCGCAAAAAATATGCGATGGTATTAGTTTAGAAGATATAACAAGTTAAGGTTTGACAACTTTAATTTATATACATACAATGTTCTTAATGCCTAAGAACAGTACATAATACCTAAGAAAAACGTTAAAATTGTCAAAAACCTTAACTTGTTATATCTTTTAAATTAATGCTCCCCCGCTTATTTTTTAAAACTATATACATCAAGTAAAAGATGCTTTAGGAGTTAAAGGAATCTTAATTCATTTAGTATCGATTACAAATTAATACGTACGTAATGTATTGTATTAATTATATTGATTTCGGCTTTTTTATGTATTTGATATCGCGGGTATTTTTTCACCTAACCTTTGAGATTTTTTGATATAAAAAAATATTGAAGAATACAGAGCTTAAATCAAATTCAATAAAATTACAAGTCACTTTGACCTTATCCACTTTATTAATCGAAATGATTATATTGCGAAATGAAAAATCCCAATCATAAGATTATGTGATAAAATAACAATATAATCATCTTAGCAAATCTTTGACTTCATATCTTAATTCAAGTATCCGTAACACATTGTTGTTGCAATTTTTGTTGCACTAGAAAGTTAAAAGAGACTTCAACTGGCCTTTTTGAATATTATTATCGATCAATTTTGGCATACTTACATACGCGCGATATAATTACGATAATTTAATCTCTTTACGCAAGCATTAAGAGTTCTACGATAATGTATGTATGTCCTATTATGTATAAGTTTATAACAAACCCAACTGAATCGTCTTTAATCGCTTCTAATTTATAAGCGCGCATTATTTGATGATCTCCAACATCGATATCCAATATCATCGGATGAGACACATTTCTTCGACCATGGGCATACATCTAGCATTTTTCCTAATATCTTTTTATCATAATCATTACTATATCATTACTGTCATGATTAATATTTCTTTGTAATTTTTAATATTTCGAAAAATATCGTATATTTAAGATTACAAAATAAATATCTGTTCTTTAAATAATAAATTAGAAATTTTCCATTTTTCCTTTCTTTAAATATTCTAAAAATATCTAGATATTTTTAGGGATTTACTTGTAATATTTGCTAAATTAAATAGGATTTATACTTGTATTATCTGTTATGCTAAATTATCAATAAAAATTGGTATAATGAAATATGGTAACAAACGGGACAATAAAGGTTGTGTCGACGAATTAAATAAATTTTAGAATACAAAGAAAAAAATGTACAATATATGATACAAATTGATTAAAGTCATCTTCAAAAATCTTATGCAAGTACCGCTCATAACTTTTGATCAAATAATAACGCCAATCATATTATTATTATAATTGTGATTATATTAAATTTGTTGTGCAAAAATCATCATTACTTGCTCGTATTAGACCTTATGATATTGATAATTGTAAAAAATATCGAAAACAGTTATTATTATTGCACTAATCGAAATCAGTATCATTTTTATTGTTTCAAATACTCGGAATATAATATAATTATATAAAATTATGTATACGTGTAAATGTAGAAAAAAAAGAAATTTATTGAAATCCAGAAAAGAAAATTAAATATTTATTTACACACGTCACATAATTTTTACCTAAAACTAAATATGTATACAGAAATAATTTTTATTTAATTTGTTTATATGCAAAAGATGGCATTGAAATGATTATATAATTTTTTGATGCATATTTAACTGATATAAAATGTACTTTTTAATAGATATTTATGCTAGAAATCCAAATATATTTTATTAGAGGAAATTACGCAAATCTATTTCGAGAAACCGAAATGAATTTTATGAATCACAATATAAATCCGAGGAGCGTACTATTTATCGATTAGAGCACGATGTCAAATTAAAATTTGTCGACGAATATTAATTGACCTTTCACTCTGGGTGCAATAACGAAATAAATGAATGTCAGATTAAATATTTACATGTACAATTTTAAATTTTACTTACTTGACATAAACAATATATGACGCGAGATTTTAATTATTGACATAATTGATATATCATGCATTTTTTGGATCATCAATTATTAATTTACAAGAAGATATGCTATATTTTTGTAAGTATATATTGTATTTTAATTAGTCTGTATTAACAAATATCGCGTAAAAAAATACATTTTTGTAAAATTTTAAATCTATATTTTCATAAATTTATCATACAATCCTTTTGAACTTATAATTTATTGACATCTTACATAATGGATAGTATTTAAATAACGCCTAACTATTAATATTTTAGAATTAATTCAATACATAAAAACATATTCACAGAGCACGAAAAATATATGAGAAAAAAATATAAGAGATATGAAAAAAATTTATATATTATATATTTATATATTATATATATATTATATATATATATATATATATATATATATATATATATATTAAGTTAAACGGAAAGTTCGTTCTGTTTTCTGCTAAGAGATGACTCTAGATGTGAATACATGATGACTAATTTTGTTGTTTAATCTGTGATTTTGTAATTACTTTAATCTAGTATAATTAAGTTAATAGTTAAATTAATATTAGTAATAATTACTTTAATCTGATATTCGACAGGTGACACTCTAATACATATTTAAAAAAAATTTTGTAAAACTTAGTTGTGCTTTATATATTTTATTGCTTTTTATATTTGGTAGTTTAAAAACGGTAGTTTAAAAACGGACAATAATAATGCATATATTTATTGACATTTTACATAATATAGTGTTTTTTACTTTAAAAAAGACAAGAATGCAACATAAGTGAAAAGTAAGATTTGTGTCGTATATGAAGAGGTTTCAATAAAGAAGCGAACATGCCGAAAGTGATTTGCCAGATTCCGTACCGGAAATTTTGATCTCGATGATGTACCACGCTCAGGACGATCGGTCGAGTTGATGATGGTAAAATAAAGATATTAATTGAAATAATTCATGTTATACGAATCGAATTGAATGCGAAGACTCTTAAAATATTACAAACAGCCGTTGTTGAATATTTGTGCAATCTCGGACACGTAAATCGTTTTAATAATGGGATATCGCATAATTTGTCGGAAAAAATTTAATAGAATAAATTTTTGTATGCGATTCACTCTATAAACGGAATAAAAATGATTCATTTTTTAAATAAACCATCATCGGCGATGAAAAGTGAATTATTTACAACCATATGGTGCGAAAGAAATCGTGATATGATGAGCAGATATTATTTTATTATTAGACCAAAACAGGCTAAGGTAGACAGTTATTACTTTATTATTAGATAAAGCAGGATTTTATTCAAAGAATATAATGCTTTGCATCTGATAGGATTGGAAGGGAATCCTATATTACGAACTTTTATCAAAGAGTTAAACAAAATTAATTGAGATATACACTGTTTGCAATTAAACCTATTGAAGGCAACAATCGATCACAAGGAATTATCTATTCGTAAGAGAATTATTTTCATGACAACGCAAGACTGCATGTCTCTTTGACCACTCGGCAGAAATTAATGCAATTTAATCAAGATATTTTATCCCACCCGTCACATTCACTGGACTTTGCATCTCCCGATTACCATTTATCTCCGTCTCTGCAAAACTCGTTTAACGGCAAAAATTTCATATCCTCGGAAGTTTGCAAAAATCATTTGAAACAGTTTTTCGGCTAAAAACCTAAGAAGATTTACATGGATAGAACATGGATAGAATCATAAAGCTACCCAAAAGATGGCAAAGAGTTATTGGAAAAAATGACGCACACGTAGAGAAATAAAATTACATTTAAATAAAAAAGCATCTTTCAATTCGACCGAAGAAAACAGAACGAATTATCTATTTCCATATATATGCCCTTCTTCTATTAAGAACATTTTAGAAAAATCTTAGAGAAATATAAATTATTTATCTTTCCATTGAAGAGAGTCATTATTAATGCAATTATTGTGTCTGATTAAATATTACTACGCAGAATTGCAAAATTGTTATCCATTGTTCTTTTATGTAATCATTTTTTATCAGTTCCAATATGAAGATAAACGATGGATGTATATTTGTATGGATGTGTATTTGACTCGTAAACGTCTGTCTCTGCGCCGATATGCCAAATCATCATTCACGATGCGAATGATTTCGAAGTGGATAAACACAGTGCACTATATAAAATACCTGCTTCAACAAGGTTAACGCTAATCATAATCGCGACCTGCACATCTCACATTAATCCAGAAGTTCGCGACTATATTGGTGTAAGAAAGAAATATTCTCGATTTTCTCTCGAATCGAAGATCGATTCCTCGATAGACTCCTCGACTTATAAAATAACTTAGATTTATTACGAGGAAAAGAAATCGCTCGGACTAACGAATATTCAGCGCATTCTTGATGAGATCTGGAAATATATCTGTGAGACTTGGAAACGTGTGAGTCGGAAAAATGTGACAGTAATTTGTTAAAATTTCTCCAAGCGATATTTCGAACAGATGCACTTGGTTTGAATTCGCAATAGTAATACAATAGATTGGACATATTTGTAATTGTGTATAATGTATACTGTACATAAAGATTGAAAATACACAATCTTATGCGAGATTATTCGTGCAATTGAAAATACACTATGAACAACAATATTATGAACAACAATAATAAATTAATTTAATTAATTAACTTGAAGTTATCCAAAACTTTCTTTAAATTGCATCTCAAGTCAAGCGACGTTTTCGTCTCTTTTAAGCAGTCAACAGTCGATGAATGTTGATAAGATTTAAAATACTTTGTGCTACAATATCGAGCTAATTATAGAATATATAAATAAATAATGTTTATAAAGAGATATAAAATTGAACCGTAAAAGAAAGAGCGAGAAAATAAATGATACTTGTAAAAGATAAAAAAGGATTGATATTGTTCACTAAAATTATGAATCATATCTTTGTGCTCAGCCGAAAAAATATTGCTGCATAAATTATTGTTATATTATTCGATTGATTAAAATCATTGTTACATGTGTTATTATATTATTATAATATTCAATTGATTAATCAAGAAACAAGAATATTGAAAGGAAAAAAGCATCATGGTGAGTGTAATAGACATTAATAACACAAATGAGCATATCGATATTAATAATAGACGAACGGACATTGATAATTCTATTGAATTAACCAATGTTAATAATATCATGAATGAACAAATGGACATTGACAATAAACACATATCAACATGTGTGGACATCAGGGTATGTATATATTTCAGACAAAATGCAATAAATTTAAATTTTGATGTTGGAATGATAAATAAATTGCAAATGTTTTTTTTTAAATTTAAAAAGTTTTTTATGTATAAATCTTAGTGTATTTCATGTATTTTTATTTTTTCGATTTTTTCGATGTTGAAAGTTTCTGAATAATTCTTTTTGAAAATTGGTAACAGGGAAAAAATAATCTTTGTTTTTGTTTTCAAATTTGTCTCTATTATTTTTAATTAAATTAAATTATTTTTAATTAAGTTATTTTTAATTAAATTATTTAATTAAGTTTATACAATTTTATCTTTAATTATGAAACTTGTCGGGCTACTTTTACTTTATATAATTTTTTTCTCTTCTTTAATTAAATTATCTTTGAAGAATGAGACATTCCTCGAATTAAGATAACGTTTCAGAATTCATTAAATGTCATCGTTATCAAAAAATTTAAATAGGTATTATTATGGGAAACTCTGATATGCATTGTGCATTACATGCTACAATCATATAAATAAAAAATAATTACATTTGGATTGTATATTATATTTGGATAGTGTTGAAATTGTTTAACAGTTTTCTATTTACCTTAAGATATAATATATAGATGTGTGATCATAAAAAAATACTACAAAATTTAGAAAAAAATATAATATGGAAATAAATGTGATAATCTAACAATTCTATTAATCTTTTTCCTTTGCAGAGAACATCCCGCATCGCCGAAGAGGAGAAATGGGAACGAAATGGAGTAATTTATCAAGTATGTGTTTAAACTTCTTATATTCTTATAAAAGTGACATCATTCTTTTTTTTTTAATTACGTTTCTTAAAAAAAAGATAAAGATTTAAAATCATAAATGATAATATTACTTATCAAAAATTTAAATTTATATACATAAATATAGATGACATCATAAAATAACGAGCATATAAAGTATATTGCTGACAAAAATCTTATTTCGAAACTTACATAAAAAATAGTTAACATTAATATTAAATATTAATTAAACATTAAAACCATCTTTAATTTATTCCTCAAAAAATTTATTATTCCAGCTGTGTGCATAGTATTGCACTAAACGTGGCGTTAAACACAAACAATTTCATAATAAAATATTCTAAAATCTGTTTTTTAGAATATCAATGTTAAATCTCTAAATAACGTCTTACTCTCGTCTATTTATTATGTTATACGAGACGTTACGATTTTTGGTCAATAAAAAAAAATGCAATTATATGTGTACTATATATACATGACTTATCCATGATTTTGCAAAAAATTTTGAATTTTAATGATTGAATTTTGAATTTGAATGAGCATCTCAATGATAAGATATAGTCTGTCTGCAATTTACAAAATATCTTCTTTTGCATACATTTTAATATTTTCAAAATATGTATGAAATTTTATCATGCACGAATTATGCACGTCACATTTAGCGCCTCGAATTGAGTAAAACTCTATGATTTTCACCGCAAGATTTTAAAGTTCATTTTTTTGCCGGTTGTCTTTCCTGTCGTCTTCACAATCGTTTGTTAAACCGATTCTAATATTTCTTGTATTCGTAATAGTTGCACCGATAAATGCGTGCGATTATTCTAATAAAAAATTCGAAGGTTAGTTGATATGCGCTTTAGTTAATTTTAACATGTAGTAATGTATTATCTACAATGCTTTCGGTACTCAGTATTTTGAAAAATGCTATTATTCTCGACAAAAAAAATGACAAATTGTAAGTAATTTATAGTCGTAAAACATAATACATACATACATACGAAAACGCAGCACATTTCGGAATTTGTAGATAATACATTACTACATGCTAAAATTAACTAAAGCGCGTATCAACCAACCTTCGAATTTTTTAGTTTTTACATAATTTTTCTTGATGTGCCTAGAAATATAAATAGAAAAAAACGAAAAGTTTTTTCTATTTATAAAATACGTTTTTTTTGTGAAAAAAATAATAATCTTATTATTTTTAAAATTTTACTTTTTCAGGTGTTAAATTTTCAGGTTTAAAATTCAAGGAAAAATCAGGTTTAAATTTTCAGGTTTAAAATTTTACTTTTCAGGTTTAATATTTTTACATTTCCACTACTTATTTTTTATTATTTTTCATTTTTTAGATAAATTTTAAATAATCATTATTATTTTAAATGTAGTTCAAATCCTAAAGTTATATAGTTATATATAATTAGTATATTTATAATTAAATAAATTCTCCAAAAACAAATTAAAATTGAAATTGAATGAGTTGTTATTTTTATTATAGGTATAAAATATTATAGATACATATAAATCATATATTGTATTTGTTTTATAATTTACTACAAAAATATAATTAATTCATTAAAATTACTTCCGAAAAAAGGTAAATTAAAAATATAAGTATTAATTTTATCGATTAATTTGCTCGTTAATAAAAAATGTGAAGAAATAAAATAACATTATATTACAAAAATAAAAAATAACAAAATTTATTTATTTCAATTAAAAAAAGAAATGTTTTTTTCACTATTTTCTATTAGAAAAAAGAAACGTTTGTTTACGTCTTTACACCTGACATTTTTGCCTGATTCGTAATATTTCTCTTACAGATATTGATGGGCTTATGTGCCAATGTTGTCGTGCTGACTCCGGGAATGGGAGTTGGTTACTATGGCGTGGCACAACCTGCGATGACAGCTCCAAAAACCGACGATTTACAACTCGACGCTAATCAAGCAAATTGGGCGGGTAAGTAATATAAAATTTGTTGGAAAGATTTTTTATGACTTTCGATTATCGGAAAGAAAAAATTGTATCATCTTTTCTATTATTTACTAAAAATTAATATGCTGCAGCTACTACATTTGCGTTGACTATACCCCTCGGTTGTTTACTCACGAGCCCTGTGATGGAACGAGGAAGAAAACTCAGTATGGTCATGGCGTCGTTAATCTCAGTGGCGGGTTGGGTGACCATTTACTTGGCGAAAAGTTACGAGGTGCTTCTTGTGGGGAGTTCGATTTCCGGTATATCTACGGGCATGGCAGCTGCTCCAGCGACGATATACGCAGCAGAAATCGCGGAACCGAAGTGGCGAGGTACGATGGTCACGTGGACTAGCCTCTATTTCTCTATCGGTGGTCTTCTGGTTTACATCTTTGGATATATTTTCAAGGTAAAGGAGTTCACGAGTTGTGTTTAAATTAATCAAAAATAAATCGATCTCGTATCTTACTGCTATCACGATTTAAAAATTAATAATTAATTCTTAATTAAAAATATAGTAAATTAAGTGCGTATAGTTATATAATCATTGATATACATGCGGCATATAATATGAAATAATGCATATAATCTTTGCAACTCTATTTTTTTCTTCTAAAGAATGACTGGCGCTTAGTGGCTTTGATGTGCGCCATATTTCCAGTGGTGTCGATTGCTCTGACATTGCTAGTGATGCCCGAGTCACCGTTATGGCTTCGAGACCAAAATCGGCCCGAGGAAGCGCTGAAGATCATGAAAAAATTTCGTGGCATACCAAAAGACCAACCGGCTCCGGCGGAAGTTCTATTCGAGCTGAAGCCACAGTCGCAGGAGAAGGATCGGAATCTGCTAAAACACCTGATGAAGAGGAGTTCTCTGGTGCCATTTGTCATAATGAACAGCTATTTCCTCTTTCAGCAATTCTCTGGAACCTTTCTTGTCACGTACAATGTTGTCACAATTATGGAGAAATCTGGAATCCAGATAGATCCTTACATCGGTGCCATTCTGATAGGCGTCGCACGCCTCATAGCTAGTTTTCTAGCGACAGAAGTGTGCCGAAGATTAGGTGTACGAATACCATCGATAATTTCCGGAATCGGAATGACGATTTTTATAGGTGGTCTATCACTCTATCTTTTCCTAGCCGAGAAAGGAACTGTCATATCAGATAAAGGCATAATCCCAACAACATGCATGATGCTGTTTATCTTTACGAATACTTTGGGTTACCTGACAATCCCGTTCGCCATGGTGGGCGAAATATATCCGTCCAAAGTCAAAGATATACTGTCCAACGTGACAGTCTCTATATGTTACTTGGTCAGTGCGATAACCGTCAAGATATACCCGGATATGGAGAGATTGATGCACATGTACGGCGTATATTTCTTCTTCGGTATTGTCTCCCTTATCGGTTTAATATTCATCATATTTTTCTTGCCCGAGACGAAGGGAAAGACTTTGAGCGAGATCGAGGATATGTTCTCCAAGAAGAAGGTCTCTGAATTATCAGCGGAAAAAGTAGTCGGAGAAATTCCCAGTATTCCAAACCGTGTCGATTCTCTAGAAAATTAAAAAAAATTGTTTTTAAGTGTTAAAAAATAAAGCATGGTTCGAAATTAATATTAAATATCCGAAGAAAGTCGAAATCAAACTGCACTGTGAAAATTGTGAAGTTGAAATAAACGTTATGTCGTTTTGTCATGCTTCGAATCGCAATGATTTAAAAGGTATAATTAAAATAATGAAATAACTCAATGTTTATTTCAAATGCGAGATCTCTTCTTAATGTTGTATACTTTATAAAGACTTAAAAAAGAAAAAAGCTGTAGAAATATATTAATGTTTACAAAGAGAAAACTTATTGCAAGAGAATCATAACGTAAATATTGTTATATATATCTAAAACTTAGCTTCATATGCTAATGTGTTCGTAAATGCTATGTAAATTTAAAAATTAAATTTGTATTAGTCTGCAAAAAAGATTCGTAAAGATCTCTCGAAAAAGATAAGACGATAATATATCGAATTATTTTATTAAAATCGATTATATATTTACAGTTTAAGAACGTTTTGACCGGAGTTATATCTTTGAGAGAATTAAAGTTCAAGATTCCATAATATATTATATTGTAAATACAACTAAATACCCTCTTATCGCAAAAAGATAGATTAATATGTCATCTTCATTGTTGACTTAAAAAATGATATATATCAGTAATACGTATAATGTATTAAATCTGAGATTTATTTGCGTATGATAAACTGTAATATTACTTGACAATCAAAAATGTTGTAAAGTAGTAGTTAAAGCACGAAAATAGTACTTGTATGAATATTAAAACTAGCGAGTCGCGCAATGACATGTTTTGCTTATTTCCGCTGATCATCTTTATGCCAAAAAACGTAAGTTATATCTGATTATTTCCTTTGACGCGATCATAAAAATCGAGTGTCGGGCATTAATAAACATAAAAATATTCACATTAACATTGTTTATATATTCAACATTGAAGAGTTTTCTGATGTTGCAATTGATTTTACTTCGCGATTTCGGAATATCATTTTTAACGAATATCTTTTATAATAAATTACATCTACTTTTATAATAAGTTATATCTATTTTTTATATCGTCCAAATTATTTTGCACGGAAAAATCGAATTTATAGGACTTCAAAATTTGTCAATTTTAGTTCTTTAGCATTTTATTGATTAAATCAATTCATAATCAAATTTACATATGTATTCTAAGTTATATTAAACAATGTATTATATATGTGACGATGTAAATATAGGTAATTTATGTAAATAGTATATAAATTCATAAATATACACATTTATAAATATATTTAGTACTTTATTATTAAAATCTTAAATAATAAATTAAGTATTACGTAACAATTATAATAATTAAATAATAAACACAAACGATTATTATGATTACTGACAGTAATAGTAGATGGTATAATAATAGTAAGCAATATAACATATAATAATAATATAGAATAATTGAAATCATAATTTTTTATCATAATACTCTCTAATAGATGCACAATTATCAAAATAAATTATTATCTACAAGATAGTACAGGAAAAGAAATATTATTTATCAAAACTAAGAAATTAAACATTTTAAGAGATGATAATTTCTTAATATACATTAGCATGCAAGATTACAATTTTACAATTGAGAGAGAGAGAGAGAGAAAAACAGAAAGAAAGAAACATTATTGACATTAAATCGCTTGAGTCAATTATCTATCTACTATTTAGTATTTAATTAAGTCCAGATCTTATAAAATATAAAATAATTAATAAAATGCAAGATAATTAAGATAATAAAAATTAATTTAATTCTATTAAAGATAATTCTATTAAGGATAAATTCTATTAAGGATAATTAATTAAAAATTGAAACTAGGCTACATGCGTTTTTTACACCTAGAACATGAGTCGATCTTATGCATAAAGTAAAACTCTGTTGATGGAAATTGTATCTCTTATTCTTTTTCGTATTCAATCCCTATTGTCAACAATATAATCAACGATAATTAATTAGCAGCTCGACACTAATGACCATTCAATTATCTATCGTATGGTAAAATACAGCAATGTGCATCTTTCCTCTTATGGTTTAACGATGATGACTCCGCTGATATTGATTCTATCATTTTTCCTTGTTAAACTATTACTTTGTGCAGATTTTTTGCAGAATTCGAATTTGTAAATTAACGTATAACTTATCGTTTCAGAATTATTTAAGTCTAAAAAGAACAAAAATGACTATTTTAACACACACTTTAAATTAGAATATCTCCGAATCCTGATAAAAAAATTTGGATATGGGTAGATTCAGTTTCAGCACATCGAAAATTTTCGCAATCATATACTCTGCTTTTTGGATCTGAAAGAAATATTATTTTACAAGTCTGTGTTATCCGTGCAAATTTTTATTCGCAAAAATCTATCGTTTGAACAGTCAGTGTGCAAGTAGTTCATGAATGTTGATGAGATTTAAAGTATTTTACTTTAAAACATCATGAAGATCTCCTCTTTTCGTCACTCTGTCGAATTTAATATGTAGAAAATTCACTTACGTGAATTGTTCAAATTTAACAAATGTGAAAGTTGTATACGATGTCATTAAAATGTAATAAACACAAGCTGCACTCGCAGTTTATACAATAGCTGTATATACAACAGCTTATATATATTATCAGATAATTAAATAATTAGTTTTAATAAAAAGATAACAAGGCATTTCGAAGAACGTTTTATCAGTATAAGTAGTAACAATAGTAGTGCACGATCGAGTTGCAAGATATATTCAATTCCTGTGCTGTCTTTTGTAAAGTGAACAATACTTTTATTTCCAGTGAAATAAAATTTGCTAGAATCAATTGTAATCAAAATTGATTTATCACTGCGTATTTGTTTATAATAATTTTTATTTTTATTTTCAAATTTGTTTACATTATTTTTCCTTTATTCAATTTTGCTTTCAATTCACAATTCGGTGATATTTTTACTTCATGTATATCTTTTTCTCTTCGTTATCGGAATTATTTTTGAAGAATGTTGGTGCATTGCATCCTTATGATTGCGATTATGATTCAGAGTTCATCAAGTTCGATGAGTCGTTATCGAGAAATTTAAATAAATATCATGAGAAACACTAATAGTATAGCAATTGCGAATGTTTCAATCATATGAAAAATAATTATATTTGGATGTTGTTAAAATTGTTTGACAGTTTTTTATTTATTTCTTATGATTTTTAATATATAAATCACACAAAAGAAATATTACAAAAATTATAAAAAGACATAATATGGAAATTCAAACGATAATCTAAAAATTTTATTAATCACTTTCTTTCGCAGATGTTATCCAGCATCAGTGAAGAAAAAAAGTGGGAACGAGATGGAATAATTTTTCAGGTATGTGCTAAAACTCTTACAAAAATAATGACATTATTTTTTTAATTAATTACTTTTCTTAAAAACTTTCCTTAAAAAATAAAGATTTAAAATATTACGTCACGATCGTGAACGATAATATCATTTTCAAATTTTCAAATTTATACACATAAATATGAATGACATCGTAGAAAAATGGGCATATAAAGTATATTAATGACAAAAATATTATCTCAAAATCTATATAAAAAAGTAGCTAATATTACTACAAATATTACTATCTAATATATTAATATTAAATATTTACTAAATATTAAATTAACCATTTTTTATTTATTAAATACGTTTTTAATTATCTTCTGTATTTCCTGTCATCTCCACTATCGTTTGTGAAACTGATTCTAATATTTCTTGCATTCGTAACAGTTGCATCGATAAGCACGTGCGATTACTCTGATAAAAAATTCGATGATACACACTTTAATTAACCTTAACATGTCGTGGTATCTACAATGTTTCTTGTAACTATTTACCGTGTTTTCGCACGTGTATTATGCTTTGTGACTATAAATTATGGAGTCATTTTTATGGGTAATGTTTTTTCGAAATGCTATTATCATGTTTTACATTTTTAGTTAGGTGATATCTTGAGGGATTGTTTCGATTATATAGATATAAATCATATCGTAATAATTTCGTTGTTGTAATTTGCTACAAAAACCTCTTTAATTCATTAAAATTATTCTCCTCTTTAATTCATTAAAATTATTTTCGAAAAAGATAAATTAAAAATATAAGAAACGAAAAAAAGTATGTTTTCTTTTTAATGTTGATTCTCTATTAGAAAAAAGCAATTTGTTTGCACCTTTTTTTGTCTAATTCGCAATATTTCTTCTACAGATATTGATGAGCGTGTGTGCCAATGTTGTTGTGATGGGTCCGGCGATGAGCTTTGGTTACAGTGCCGTGGCAGAACCCGTGATGAGAGCTCCAAAAACCAATGATTTACAACTCGACGCTGTTCAGGCAAATTGGATGGGTCAGTGATATAAAACTTGTCGAAAGATTCTTCGCGACTTTTGGTTATTAGAAAGGAAAATTTGTGTCGCTTTCATTATTTACTAAAAATTAATATGTCGCAGCTACTGCATCTGCGTTGGGTATACCCCTTGGTTGTTTTGTCTCGAGCTTTGTGATGAGACGAGGAAGGAAGATCAGCATGTTTGTGACGTCATTAATTTCACTGGTGGGTTGGGTGACTATTTACATGTCGAACAGTTACGTACAGATTCTTGTAGGAAGAACGATTTCCGGTGTATCTGTAGGCATGGCATCGGTCCCGACGACGGTATATGTGGCAGAAATAACGGGGCCGAAGTGGCGAAGTACGATGATCACGTGGACCAGCTTCTTCATGGGTCTCGGTATTCTCCTCATTTATATCTTTGGATATATTTTCAAGGTAAACAAATTCGGGAGTTCTATTTAAATCAATCACAAATCAATTTCGCATGTCACTGTCGTCACACCAATTATTAACACTTGTTTAAAAATGCCGTAAATTAAATATTGTAATAGTTATGTAATCATTGGCATACGTACAGTATATAAACGAATAATGATGTATATAATTTTAACAACTCTATTTTTTCTCTTAAAGGATGATTGGCGACTAATGGCCTTGATGTGTGGTCTACTTCCAGTGATGGCGATTATTCTGGCTTTGCTAGTGATACCAGAGTCACCACTATGGCTCCGGGATCAGAATCGGTCCGAGGAAGCGCTGGAGATCATGAGAAAGTTCCGTGGTATACCAAAAGGCAAGCCGACTCCTACAGAACTTTTGCTTGAACTGGAACCGCGGCCACAGAGGGAGAATCAAAATCTACTACAACATTTGATGAAGAGAAGTTCTGTGATGCCATTTGTTATAATGCTCAGCTACTTCTTCTTTCAGCAATTCTCTGGAATTTTTGTTGTTATATACAACGCTGTCACGATTATGGATAAGTCTGGTGTCCAGATAGATCCTTACATCGGCGCCGTCATAATTGGCGTAGCACGTCTCATAGCTTGTCTCCTAACGAGCGCAGTGTCTCAAAAATTCGGACGACGAATCTCGTCGATAATTTCCGGCATCGGGATGACGATTTTCATGGCTAGTTTATCGCTATACCTCTTCCTAGCTGAAAATGGAATTGTCATATCAGATAAAGGGATAATCCCAGTAGCATGTATAATCTTGTATATTTTCGCGAGCACTTTAGGTTACCTAATAATTCCGTTCGCCATGGTGGGCGAAATATATCCGTCCAAAGTCAAAGATATACTATCCAACTGGACGGTCGCTATAGGTTATATCTTTAGCGCGATAACTGTTAAGACATATCCGGATATGCTGAAATTGATGAACATGCACGGCGTTTTTTTCTTCTTCGGTATTGTCTCCTTTATCGGTTTAATATTTATCATATTATTCTTGCCCGAGACGAAGGGAAAGACTTTGAGCGAGATTGAGGATATGTTCTCCAAGAAGAAGATGTCTGAATTATCAACGAAAGGAGCAATTCCAAGTATTTCAAACGCGTCGGTTCTCTAAAAATTGAAAAAGTTGCTTTTAGGTGTTAAAAAATAAAGCGTGGTTCGAAATTAATATTCAATATCCGAAGAAAGTCGAAATCAAACCGCACTGTGGAAATTGTGAAGTTGATGAAATAAATGTTATGTCATTTTGTGATGCTTCGAATCGCAATGATTGATAAAAGATATGATTAAAATGATGAAATAACTCAATGTTTATTTCAAATGCGAGATCTCTTCTTAATGTTATATATTTTATAAAGACTTAAAAAAGAAAAAAGCTGTAGAAAATATATTAATGTTTACAAAGAGAAAACTTATTGCAACAGAATTAGAACGTAAACATTGTTATATATCAAAACTTGGCTTTATATGCTAATATGTTTAATAAAATGTATGTAAATTTGAAGATTTAGTATTAGTAGTGTATTAGTTCGTAATGAATAAGAGATACATAAAGATTTCTCGAAAAATATAAGAGAACAATATATCGGATTATTTTATTAAAATCTATTATATATTTATATATTTACATATTTATATATTTACATTATATATTTATAGTTTAATAGCGTTTTATGAAGTTTTATCTTCGAGACAATTAAAGTTCAAGATTCCATAATATGTAATGTTATATAATATATTATATTGTAAATACACTAAATACTCTTTTATCGTAAATAGATAGATTAATGTGTCATCTTCATTGTTGAAGACTTAAAAAATGTTATATATCAATAATACGTATAATGTATTAAATCTAAGACTTATTTGCGTATGATAAACTGTAATATTACTTGAGACAATCAAAAATGTTGTGAAGAGATAGTTAAAGCATGAAAATAGTACTTATATAAATGTTTAATACTGGCAAGTCGCGTAATAACATGTTTTGTTTATTTCCGTTGATCGTTAATAAACGTAAATTATATCTAATTTATTTCCTTTGACGCGATCATAAAAATTGAGGCGTTAATAAGCATGAAATTATTCACGTGCAACATTGTTTACATATCCAAGATTAAAGAACTTTCTGATGCTGCGATTGATTTTATTTCGCGATTTTGAAATATCACTTTTAACGAATACCTTTTATAATAAGTTATATATCTACTTTTTATATCGTACAAATTATTTTGCACGGAAAAATCGAACGATTTTATAGAACTTCAAAATTTGTCAATTTTAAAGTTCTCTAGCATTTTATGAATCAATTCATAATCAAATTTACAAATTCATCTAAGCTATATTAAAAATATATTATATATGTGACGATGTAAATATACGTACTACATTAATTTATAAATATATTTTGTACTTTATTATTAAAATCTTAAACAATAAATTAAATTATAATACGTAACAATCATAATAAAAATCTAAAATATTTAATATGTAGAATTTAATATGTAGAAAATTCACTTTCGTACGTGAATTGTTCAAATTTAACAAATATGAAAGTCATATATGATGTCATTCAAACGTAATAAACACGAGCTGCACTTGCAGTGTTTATATATATACAGGGTGTCCCAAAACTCATAATCAATCTTTCAAAAACAGATTCCTGGGATCATTTGGAGACGATTTTCCCTCAGCGAAAATGTCGATGAAGGCCATCATTTTTATGTTCCCGATTTTTGTCATCATATATCTTTGCAATTAAGTCTTAAATTAAAACTCAACTAAAGTAAACTCTATTTAAAATTAATCAAAGAATGTGGTTTTGTTAATATTTTATTTCTACAAAGCTTAGTTTACGAAAAACCCCTTATTTCCAATCAATTATAATTCGAAAATTATTAGTGTCTTGACATTTTCGTTGAGGAAAAATCGTCTTCAGATGATCCCAGAAATCTGTCTTTGAAAAATTGATTATGAGTTTTGGAACACCTTGTATATACAATATATATATATACACAACAACTTATGTATATTATCATATAATTAAATAATTAATTTTGCGTGTAAAAAAATAACAAGGCATTTCGAAGGACGTTTTACCAGTATCAATAGTGACGATAGTAACGCACGATCGAGTTGCTAGATATATTCAATTCCTGTGTCGTTTTTTGTAACACGGACAATACTATTATTTCTAATGAAAACAAGTTTACTATCAGAATCAACTCTAATCAGAATTAATTCATCACTGCGTATTTGTTTATCAATAAATAAGGTATGTTTATAGTGAATCTTGTAAAAAGAGTGATGTATTTCTAATTAAGAAAGGATATACACAAAACTTTATAAAGAAAAAATTTTTAGTCAATTGTAAAATCAGTGCGTCAAAGATAATTTCATTTGTATTGTATCAATTATTATAGTTAAAAAATACTTTCTTTTGAAGACAAAGGCTGTTACTCCATAATATATTTCAATGGTACATAATATTTTAACAATCAAAATTTCTATTTGCAATTTTACATGTCATACGTTATTTCCTATATATCTATATTTATATATGTATCATAAATCTTCAAATATTATTTGCATTAAATTATAAATAAAATTGTATCCAAAATTTTACTTAATTAAGTCATTAAAATAAGCATTACTCTATAAATATATACTAAAGAAAATCTATCAGCTTATAAATCAGATCCGCAAAATTACAAGTCATTTTGATTTATCCGCGTCATTAATGGAATTAATGATTATATTGTGAAAAGATAAGGTCCTAATCACAAGATAATCTGATAAAATGACAACATAATCTTAACAAATCAACTTTGGCTTCATATCTTAATTCAAGTATCCATAGCACGTCACCAAGATTTGTCGTAGTTACGTGAATTTCTTGTTGCGCCAAAGAATTAGAAGAGACTTTAACCGATCTGTTTGAATATCATATTATCGGTCAGTCCCTCGTCATATGTGCATAGTTATGACAAAATTAATCTTCTTACGCAAGCGCTATAAGTTCCACGATAACATATGTCCTATTACGTACAGGCTTATATATGTACGGCTGAGTCGTCTTTAATCGCTTCTAATTCATAAACGCGTGCCATTCGATGACCTCTAACACTGATATCACTCTAACACTGATATCTTAACCTAACTCAACATCATCTAATGAGGCACATTTCTACGATCCTGGGCATTTTTTCTAATATTTTTTCATCATAACTGTCATTATTAAAATTTATTTTTAATTATCATACAGACAATTATTTAATATTTTATTTAATTCTGTAAAAATATATTATTAAAATCGAAAAATATGTTTATTAAGATTACAAAATAAGTGTCTGTTCTTTAGATAATGCATTCTTCTTTCATTAAATATTCTGAAAACATCTAAATATTTTTAGGGATTTATTGTAGTGTCTGCTACATTAAATAGGATTTATACTTGTACTTGTTAGGCTCTAAATCATTAATAAAAATTAATGAAACACGATGGCATTGCGGGACAATAATAATTTGAATTTACGTTTGCGTCGACGAATTAAATGAATTTAAAGCAAAGAAAGAAATAATACTCAAATTTATTTAATTCATCTCCAAAATCTTATACAACAAAATATTGCTTGTAACTTTTGGCCAAGCAATAACGTTAATCACATTATTATTACGCTTGTGATTAAATTTTGTTGTGCAAAAAATTAACATTATTTGCTCAAGCTTCAAGATATTGGCAATTGTAAAAAATACCTTTTGAAAATAACTATTATTGTTCTAATCAAAATCAGTATTATTTTTATTGTTTCGAATATTCGGAATACAATATAATTGTATAAAATTATATATAAATGTAGAAAAGAAAAGAAATCTAGAAAAGAAAATTAAGTATTTACTTACATATATTACATATAATTTTATACATAATTTTCATCTAAATAAATATAAATATAAAAAACCGACTTTTTATTACAATTGTATATGCAAAAATTGACATTGATTAATTACAATATATAATTTTTTGATGCATATAATTTGTGACTGCTATAAAATGTACTTTTTTAATGGATATCTATGCTAGAAATCTAATGTAGCATATCTCATTAGAGGAAATTACGCAAATCAATGTTGAGAAAACCGGAATGAATTTTACGAGTTACAATATAAATCCATGGAAAAGTGGCATAGAATTTATCGATTGAAACACGAAGTCAATTTAAAATTTGTCGCCGACTAATTGGCCTTTCACTCTGACTGGATCCAATAGCGAAATGGACGGGTTTTCAGATTAAATATTCATATGTGCAATTCTATAATGTACTACAAATTTTAATATTTTGCTTAATATAAATTATATTTATAAATTAAATGATATAAATTACATGATATGAGATCTTAATTGACAAAATGATATATATATTTTTTCTATTTGTTATTGATTAATTTACAAAAAGTATAAGGTATGTTATATTTTTACATACATATATGTATTTTAATCAGCTTATATTTATTTTATTTTAATCAGCTTTTATTTTAATCAACTTATATTGATAAAACATAGCGTAAATATCGCGCAAAAATTATTTTACATTTCTATGTAAAATGTTAAATCTATATTTCCATAATAAAAAAATCTATAATAAAAATCCATATTTTCATAAATTTATGGAAAATATTTAAATAACTCATAACTATAGAATAATTAATATTTCAGAATTAATTCAATACACAAATATATATTCGTAGACTCAGCGTGGAAAAAATATATAGAGCTATAAAAAGTTTTAAATTCAAACAATATATTGCTATATTATTATAATTGTTATAATTATATTCTTCTGTTTTCATTTTTAATAATTATATACATCATCTTTTTCTATCGAAAGCATCTCAGAATAATTTTCAAAGCTGATAAATTTTTTTCTCATTAAAAAGAGCCACCATCAGAAATGCAATTATTATGTTTGATCAAATATTATTACTCAAAATTACAAAATTGCCATTTTTTACGTAACATTTTTTACGTAACACCTCTTTATCAATTCTAATATGAAGATAAATCAATGAATGTATATTTGGTACTTGCAAATGTCGCTCTGCGCCGATACGGCAAATCATCATTCACGATGTGAATGATCTCGGAGTGGAGAAACACAGTCGGCATTATATAAAATCCCTGTTGTCTTTAGTCAACAACGGTCAGCGCTGACCACAGCTTGCACGTCTCGCGAAGCTCACGAATGTGTCGATGTAAATAAGAGAAATATTGCTGATTGTTGCTCGAATCAATTGTATGGTATAACAGACTCTTCGACTTATAAAATAATCTAGACTTGTTATGACGAAATGAAATCGCTCGAACTGAATAGCGAGTATTCAGCGCGCTCTTTATGAGATTTGGAGATATATCTATGAGACTTGGAAACGCGCGAGTCGGAAAAACGCGACAGTTGTTCGTTAGAATTTATCGAAGCAATATCTCGAACATCACATGTGCATTTGGTTTGAATTCGCAAACAGTATACGATAGATTAGACACGTTTGTAATTGTTATATAAAGATCGAAGGTACACAATCTCGCATGAGATTATCCGGAATTCTATCGGGTGAAAAGCACAAATAATTTTTAGCGCAACCATATTTATTATATATACACGTATGTGATATATCTACGTAAAGGAAGTTCAAAATAGAAAGAAAAAAGTGACGTAAAACCTTATAGATAGAAAGAGGGAGAAGATAAGTGATACTTGTGAGAGATAAAAAGGATTCATTTTCTAAAATTATAAATCTTATTTTTGTGTTCGATAGTTGAAAAAATATTACTGTATAAAATTAATGTTATGTTATTGAAATTATTAAAATTATTGTTATCTTATTTAATTGATTGATTGAAAAACAAGTGCATTGAAAGAAAAAGAGCGAATATGGATATTAATACGGCAAAAAAGTGTACTGATAGACAAACAGATGTTAATAATCCTGATGAGTCAACGAACATTAATAATATTGTGAATGGACAAATGGATGTTAATAATACAAATAGACACACATCAACATATGAAGATATCAAGGTACGCATATATTTTAGCCAAAATGCAATAAATCTAGATTTTGAAGTCACAGATAAATTATAAAATTTTATTCTAAAATTTTTATGTATAATGTTAATATTCCTCATACTTTTTTTTTATTTTCTCAATTCTATCGATCTTATGAATGTGTTGAATTTCTCGATATGAATAATTCTTTTTAAGAATTGACAACAGAAAAAAATAATTTTTATTTTTATTTCCAAATTTGTTTACATTATTTTTAATTATCCAATTTTGTCTTCAATTCACAACTCAGTGATACTTTTACTTTATGTAATTCTCTTTCTCTTCATTAACTGAATTATTTTTGAAGAATGTTGATGCATTGCGTTCCTGTGATTGCGATAAAGATTCAAAGTTCATCAAGTTTGATCGTTCTTATCGGTCCTTATCAAGAAATTTAAATAAGTATCATGGGAAACATTAATAACATAGCAATTATGCATGCTTTAATCACGTGAAAAATAATTAGATTTAGATATTGTTAAAATTGTTTGACAGTTTTCTATTCATTTTAAGATTTAATACATAGATCATAGATGATCACACAAAAGAAATATTACAAAAATTATAAAAGAACATAATATGGAAATACAAACAACAATCTAAAAATTCTATTAATTTCATCCTTTGCAGATGTTGCCCAGCATTGAAGAAGAAAAAAAGTGGGAACGAGATGGGGTAATTTTTCAGGTATGTGTTAAAACTTTTTATACAAAAATAATGACTTTATTTTTTTAATTAATTATTTTCCTTAAGAACTTTCCTTAAAAGATAAATATTTAAAATATTAAGGCACAATCGTGAACGATAATATAAGTTATCAAAATTTCAAATTTATACACATAAATATGGATAACATTGCAAAATAATGGGCACATAAAGCATATTAATGATAAAAATATTATTTCGAAATCTATACAAATGTAGCTAATATTAATATAAATATTAATACTAGTTACATTTAAATATATATAAATATTAATTAAACATTAAATTAATTATTTTTAATTTATTGCTCAAAAAATTGGTTCTTCCGATTGCGTGAATAGCATTGCACTAAACACAAACAATTTCATAATAAGAAGTATTAAAATCTATGTTTTTATAAAACATCTCTCAATGTTATATCTTAATAATGTCATAATCGCGTCCAATTATTGTGTTTTTTTATTTAAATTATCTTGGGATTGAAACATACGATATGTACAATAGAATGTAAATGAAATGATGAAATAGAAGCAAGATATGTAATATAGAATGGATTTTCTCAATTCGATTGTATTCATGAAAAATTATACAGATTTTTAAGTAATATCTACACATGTCTATAACATTAATTGTAAAGAAATCTGTAAAATAAACATTATCTTTATCCTTGTAGCGATCAAGAAAAATGAAAATACGAGAACGAAAATCTCAGCTTTATCAAAAAAAGTTGCACTTGCTGCAATTTTTATTTATTTCTATTATGATTTATTCGTATTTGCATTTCTTATTATGCATTTTAATAAGCTTCAACAATGTACATTTTCTCATGTTACGCCAGCTAAAATAATTTTCAAAATGTTTTGATTAAGCTTTTATCGCGGCTTTTCATATGAGATTTGCAGTTTTTGATCAATAAAGAAATGGAATTACATATGTGTATATACATGATTTATCCTTGATATTGTAAAAAATTTCGAACCTCAATATCTCTCATCGTACAATGATAAGATATACTTTATCAATATATGTATTATAAGATATTTTTTCTGATGTGCATCCTAATATTTTCAAAATATGTATAAAGAGCTATTGCGCAAGAATTATGTCAATTCAGCGTCTCGAATCGTATAAAACCTCATTTTTCATTGCAAGAGTTCAAAGTATGTTTTTAATTACCTTCTGCATTTCTTGTCATCTTCATTGTTTATGAAACCGGTTCTAATATTTCTTGCATACGTAACAGTTGCACCGATAAGTGTGTGCGATTACTCTGATAAAAAATTCGATAACTGATACGCACTTTAGTTAACTTTAGCATGTCGTAGTGTATTATTTACAATGTTTCTTGTATCTATTTATCGTGTTTTCGCACGTGTACATTATGCTTTGTGACTATAAATTATAGAGTTATTTTTATCGATAATGTTTTTTCGAAATGCTATTATCATGTTTTACATTTCTAGTTAGATGAACAATTATCGAAACAATTTTTCTCGATATTATCTAACTAAAAATGTAAATAAAAAATATATAATATTTTTATTTTCATGAAATATGATTTGAAAAAGAAAATAACAAACATCATTTATTTTCAAAATTTTGATATTTCAGGTTTAATATCTTTATATTTTTACTAACTGCAAGTTTATTTCTCGTTATTGTTTAAAATTGAACCAAATGTAACTCGCATTCCAATTGGCAATATTTATAATTATGAAGATAATTAATATTTTTAATTACATAAATTCTCTAAAAACAAAAAACCCGAATAAATTATCTTTATTATAGATATCTTTTATAGATCTTATATAGATCATCTTATATAAAATTTATAGATATAAATCATCGTATTTATATCGTTATTATAATTTGCTAGAAAAGCCTCTTTAATTCAATAAAATTATTTTTGAAAAAGACAAATTAAAAATATAAGAATTATTTTTCATAATTAATAAATATGAAAAAATAATATTATATTAATAAAAATGAAAAACAACAAAATTTATTTATTTCAATGAAAAGAAATATGTTTCCTTTTTAACGTTTGTTCTCTATTAGAAAAAAACAGTTAGTTTGCATCTTTTTGTCTAATTTATAATATTTCTTCCACAGATGTTGATGAGCTTATATGCCAATGTTATTGTGGTGGGTCCGGCGATGAGTTTTGGTTACAGTGCTGTGGCAGAACCCGTGATGAGAGCACCAAAAACCAATGATTTACAACTCAACGCTGTTCAGGCAAATTGGATGGGTCAGTATAAAACTTATTGGATGGGTCAGATGTAACACTTATCGAAAGATTATCAGAAAGGAAAATTTGTATCATCGCTTTCATTATTTACTAAGAATTAATATGTTACAGCTACTGCATCTGCGTTGGGTATACCCCTTGGATGTTTAGTCTCGAGCTTTGTGATGAGACGAGGAAGGAAAATCAGCATGTTCGTGACATCATTAATCGCACTGGCGGGTTGGATGATCATTTATATGTCAAACAGTTACGAGCAGATTCTTGTGGGGAGAATCATTTCCGGAATATCTGCAGGCATGTCATCGGTCCCGACGACGGTATACGTGGCAGAAATAACGGGACCGAAGTGGCGAGGTACGATGATGACGTGGACCAGCTTCTCCTTCGCTCTCGGTGTTCTCCTCGTTTATATCTTTGGATATATTTTTAAGGTAAACAAATTCACGTGTTGTCCTTAAATCAATCACAAATCGACTTCGCATCTCACTGTCGTCACGATTTATTAAAAACCAATTATTAACTCTTGTTTAAAAATGTCGTAAATTAAATATCGTAATAGTTATGTAATTGGCACGTATATATGGTAAACGAATAATGATGTACATAATTTTAACAACTCTATTTTTTTCTCTTAAAGGATGATTGGCGACTAATGACCTTGATGTGTAGTCTACTCCCAGTGGTGGCGATTGCTCTGGCTTTGCTAGTGATACCCGAGTCACCACTGTGGCTCCGGGATCAGAATCGGTCTGAGGAAGCGCTGGAGATCATGAGAAAGTTCCGTGGTATACCAAAAGACATGCCGACTCCTACAGAACTTTTGCTCGAACTGAAGCCGCGGCCACAGAAGAAGAATCAGAATCTGCTAAAACACCTGATGAAGAGGAGTTCTCTGGTGCCATTTGTCATAATGCTTAGCTACTTCTTCTTTCAGCAATTCTCTGGAATCTTTATTGTCGTATACAACGCTGTCGCGATTATGGATAAGTCTGGTGTCCAGGTAGATCCTTATCTCGGCGCCGTTCTAATTGGCATAGCACGTCTCATAGCTAGTCTTCTAACGAGCGCAGTGTCTCGAAAATTTGGACGACGAATCCCGTCGATATTTTCCGGCATCGGGATGACGATTTTTATGGCCAGTTTGTCGCTCTACCTCTTCCTGGCTGAGAACGGAATTGTCATATCAGATAAAGGGATAATCCCAGCAGTATGCATGTTGCTGTACATTTTCACGAGCACTTTAGGTTACCTGATAATGCCATTTGCCATGATGGGCGAAATATATCCGTCCAAAGTCAAAGATATACTATCCAACTTGACGGTCGCTATAGGTTACATCTTCAGCGCGATAACTGTTAAGACATATCCGGATATGCTAAAATTGATGAATATGCACGGCGTATTTCTCTTCTTTGCAATTATTTCTTTCATCGGTTTAATATTCATCATGTTATTCCTGCCTGAGACAAAAGGAAAGACGCTGGACGAGATCGAGGATATGTTTTCCAAAAAGAAGGTCTTCGAATTACCGGCGGAAGAAGAAGTCGAAGAAGAAGTTCCAAACGCCTTCAGTCTACTAAGAAAAAATTAAAAAAGTTACTTATATGGATGTTAAGAAATAAAGCATAGATTGCAATTAATATTAAGTATCCCAAAAATGAGAGAGACAAGACCATACAATGTTGTGCGGTTAATAAAATACACGTCGTTTTGTAATATTTCAAGGTACGCTGACTTTTAAAAAATGTTATTGATGTAATGAGAAATAACTCAATATTTATTTGAAATACGAGCTCTCTTCTTAGCGTGTCATATATTTTACAAAGATTTAAAAATGATAAAATATGTAGAGATATATCACGTTTACAAAGAAAAAACTTATGATTACTTAGGATGGACGCTTTTATCACCTCAATAAAGGTTTTTAAAATGGTGACATAAACAGTGTTACATATCAAAACTTAGCTTTATATACTAATGTATTCGTAAATTATGAAATATGTTATGTAAACTTGAAGTTCTTAAATTCATCTAGTCTGGAATTCAATAAAAATGTGTAATTTCGATAAAGATAAAACACTATACATATATCAAATTATTTTATTAAAATCTAATATTTATTTCGTTTAATAAATATTGTTAAAAAGAAATTATATTATCTTTTGTAAGAGTAAAGCCAGAGTTTCATAATATTATTGTATTGTAAATACTTTCTCTGCATAGAAAGATAGATTAAAATGTCATCGTATTGTTGGAGATTTAAAAAATGATATTATTGCGTAAATTGTAATTGTATAATATGTGTAATTAAAACATGTATGTAAGACTTTTTCATAGTGATAAACTGTAATACTCGGTAATTAAAAATATTGTGAAATAATTATTAAAGCACGGAGATATGTAATTATTATAGCACAGGAATATGTGCTTATCGAAATGTTAAATACAAACAAGTCGTACGTATTTTGTTTGCTTCCGTAAATTGTCTTTGTATCAAAAAATGCAAGTTAAATATGATTTATTTTCTTCGCGATAAAATCCACGGGTACAGTTAGAGCGGTAAGAAATCGAATGTTGGCCGATAATAAGCATAAAAATATTGCTTACATATTCAACATTGATGAGCTTTTTAATGATGCGATTAGTTTTATTTCGCGATTGGAGAATAATATCATTTTGTAGCGAATGTCTTTTATAAAAAATTATGTATCTACTTTATTTTATACAAATTATTTTGCACAGAAAAATCGAGCGATTTTGTAGAACTTAAAAATTTGTTAATTCTAGCAGTTTTCTAGCAGTTTATCGATTAAATATATCAATTTATAATCCAATTTATAATCATCTAAACTATATTAAAAATGTATTATATAAGTGGCAATGTAAATATATACGTATTATATCACTACATAAATATTTTTAGAATTAAAATCTTAATATAAATTAGCATATTGCAATAAGGCATATAGCATATAACAATTATGATAATTAAATAACAAATACAAAGTATAAAGATTTCTTAATATATATTAGCGCACAAGATTAATTTCAGAAAATGAAAAAGAGAGAGAGAAAATTGACATTAAAATTGTTCACTTAAATTAATTATATATTTACTATTTTCAAATAAATCAAATTTTTTATAAAATATAAAATAATTATTATAATACAAGGTGATTAAAATAGTAAAAATTAATTTAATTCTATTAAAGATAATTAAGAAAAATGGAAACTGGGACATATATATTTATTTTTACGTCTAGATCATGAGGAGCGATCCAATTAATTATCTTATTGTTCTAGTAATATCAATAGAGCTCTGTTGTCGAGAGAAGAATATTTTTCATTAGTTCCCGTATCTTTTGTATCTCTCATTTTTGTTGGCTCTTGCCAACAATGGTGTTAAGATAACCGACTAGTAGTTCTATTTCAACACTATACCATTATACCATTCAGTCTATTTATCTATATCGTGTGAAGAAGAAACGAGAGAAAGTGTACACTCGCATCTCTTTTCGTTTTCTAAATGTTTAATCAGTTAGAATATCAGGGCTGCTGAGAAAAGAATCCGCAAATATATTCAAATTTATTTCGCTGAAAATATTTTGAAAATATATTACAAAAATATTTTATATTTTTGCATAAAAATTTATTTCTATATTTGTATAAACTTATCATAATTATTAACATAGCAATACTTAAATAACTCATAATTAAATAATTATAGAATGTTTAATATCTCATATTTAATTTACAATACATATATGTAAATTCGCATGAAAAAATATAATAAAGTTATGAAAAAAGTTTCGCAAATCTAGAAAAATATTTTTATTATATTTATACTTGTTATATTAAGCTCTTGTTTTCATATACAATAATTATGATTGGATTATTTTTCTCCTTTCTCCTTTATAGGTCAGAACAATTTCCAAATGCGATGATAAGTTATATTTCTTTCCACTAAAGCCATTATTTAATGCAATTACTGTATCTAATGAAGTATTATTACGCAGAATTGCGAAACTGTTTTTTTTTACGTAATGACTTCTTTATTAGTCCCAATATAAAGATAAAACGTGATACATGTATATTTGACATTTGCAAACAATATTTCGATAAATCAGTCGCAACGCGAAGAATCTCAAAGTGAAGAAATGCAGTCGAAGATACATTAAGATCTCTTCATCGTTTTCAGTCGCTAACGAGTTCTCAGTTAACGCTGATCACAATTGCGGTCTGCACATCTCACGTTAATTAAAAGGCTCGCGAATATATTAATGTAATTATCCTATGAAGAGAAATATTCCCTCGCTGGAAGAGAAAGAGAGAGAAAGAAGAAAATCGATTATACTATACGGACGCCTCGACCTATTTATAAAATAATCTGGATTTGTTACGACGAGAAGAAATCTTTCAATGGAATAACGAATGTTCAACGCGCTTTTTCGGATATAAATTTCCGAGATTAGGATATTTGTGAGACTTAAACACGTGAATTGAAAAAAACGTGATAGATATTCTTTAGGATTTCTCGAGGCAATATCTCAAACATCGCATCCGTATTTTTTGAATTTGCAATTAACAAGACAATAGATTAGACACTTGTTATTGTCATATAAAAATCGAAGATAGACAATCTCTGCAAATAAATTATCTGCCCAATTATTCGCGAAACTCTTTCGTCTTTTAAACAGTCAGTGTGCAAGCAGTCCATAAATGTTGATGAGATTTAAAGTATTTCGCGATATAATATCGAGGTAATTATCGAATATATAATTACTTATTAAGGATTATAAAAAGGTACAAAGTATTGAACCGTGAAAGAAAGTGCAAGAAGAGAAGTGGTATCTGTAAAAAAATAAAAAGGATTGATGCAGTATTCTAAAATTATAAAATCATGTTTTTGTGCTCAACAACCGAAAAATATTACTGCATAAATTAATTGTCAGGTTATTCGATTTATTAAAATTATTGTTATATTATTAATTATTTAATAATCGAGAAATAAGTGCATTGAAGAAAAAAGATTACCATGACAAATATAATAGACATTAATAACGAAAGTAGACAAACGGATTTTAATGATGCGAATAGAAAAACAGACATTAATAACACTGAGTCAATAAACGTTAATGATATCGTAAATAGACAAATGAACGTTAACAATATAAATGAACATATATCGACATGTATCGACAAGATTACACATAAGGTATGTATATATTTTAAAATGCAATAAGTTTGAATTTTGAATCACAAATAAATGCAATTCCTTTTTTCTAAATTTTAAAAAGTCTATTTCTGGTGTATAAATCTTAGTAATCATCATGTTTCTTTTCATTTTTATGGAATAATCTTCTCTCGATCTTTTCGATATATTGTTTCTCGACATACATAAATTTTTGTAAATCAGAAATAAAGGAAAATATAGTTTCCGTTTTTTTCAATTTATTTACATTCTTTTTCATTACTCAATTTACTGCGGAAATCATTTAAAATTCATTGCTTTTACTTCTTGTAATTCTTTTTCTATTCTTTAACTAAAGATTTATTCTTGAAAGACGTTGATGCATTGTCCACATTGCGATAACGCTTCAGAGTTCATCAAGTTCAATTAATCGTTATCAAAAAATATAAATAGGTATCATGGGGAAATACTGATATGAGTTGCGATTATGCATGCTTCAATCACGTGAAAAATAATTATATTTGAATGTATATTATATTTTGATATTGTTTTTAATATCAAAATATAATGATTTTAAAATTGATTTTAAAATTGTTCCTTTTTATTTATCTTTATTTAACATACATGGATCATAGATTTGTGATCACAAAAGAAATAATACAAAAATTATGAAAATTAATATATAATATGGAAACGTAGACGATAATTTAAACTCTATTAATCTTGTTTTTTTTTTACAGATGGAACCTAGCATTATTGAAGAGAAAAAATGGGAACGAAATGGAATAATTTATCAAGTGTGTATTAAAATTTTGCTTATTCTCTTTTAAAAATAATATGATATTACTTTTACAATTAATTATTTTTTTGAAAAGGCAAAGATAAAGATTTAAAATATTACGTCATGATTACAGATTACGATACAATTTATCAAATGTTTAAATTTAAACACACAAACATAAATGACATCCTTCAATAATTAGTACATCATTAGTGAAAATACTATTTCTAAATCAATATCAAAACTATATAAACAAAACTTTTGTCTAATTCGCAATGTTTCTTTAACAGGTATTAATGTGCTTATTTGCCAATATCGTTTCACTGGGTTCAGCGATGAGTTTTGGTTACAGTGCCGTGGCAGAACCCGTGATGACAGCTCCAAAAACCGATGATTTACAACTCGACGCTGTTCAGGCAAATTGGATGGGTCAGTGATATAAAACTTGTCGAACAGTTCTTTCTAAACTTTTGATTATTAGAAAGAAAAATTTATACATATAACCTTTTTCGTTATTTACTAAGAATTAATATCTTGCAGCTACTGCAACTGCGTTGAGTGTACCCTTCGGTTGTTTAATCTCGAGCTATGTGATGAGACGAGGAAGAAAAATCAGCATGTTCGTGACGTCATTAATTTCACTGGCGGGTTGGGTGACCATTTACATGTCGAACAGCTACGAGCAGATTCTTGTGGGGAGAACGATTTCCGGTGTATCTACGGGCATGGCAGCTGTTCCGACGACGGTATACGTAGCGGAAATAGCGGAAACCAAGTGGCGAGGTAGGATGGTCACATGGACCAGCAGCTTTTTCGCTCTCGGTATTCTCGTCGTATATGTCATTGGATACATTTTCAAGGTAAACAAACTCACAAAATATATTTAAATCAATCGTAAAACTATTTTATATGTTACTATTGTCACGATTTATTAAAAACCAATACTTAACTCCTGTTTAAAAATTCCTGTTCATAAATTAAAACCGTATCGCTATAATTATAAAATTATTTACATATGTGCAGTATATATAACAAATGATGATGCATATAATCTTCACAATTCCATTTTTTCTCTTAAAGGACAACTGGCGCTTAATGGCCTTGATGTGCGCTTTATTCCCAGTAGTGGCGATTGCTGTGACTTTACTAGTGATACCTGAGACACCGATATGGCTGCGGGATCAAAATCGACACGAGGAAGCGCTGGAGATCATGAAAAAGTTCCGCGGCATACCAAAGGACCAACCGGCTCCGGCGGAACTTTTGCTCGAATTGAAGCCGCGGCAACAGAAGAAGAATCAGAATCTGCTAAAACACCTGATGAAGAGGAGTTCTCTGGTGCCATTTGTCATAATGCTTAGCTACTTCTTCTTTCAGCAATTCTCCGGTACCTTCGTTGTCATCTACAATGCTGTCGCGATTATGGATAAATCTGGAGTCCAGGTAGATCCTTACATCGGCGCTATCCTAATAGGTGTCGCGCGTTTCATAGCCAGTCTTCTAACGGCCGAGATGTCCCGAAAATTTGGTCAACGAATCTCGTCGGTAATTTCCGGCATCGGGATGACGATTTTCATGGGCGGCTTATCACTCTATCTCTTTCTGGCAGAGAACGGAACTGTTATATCAGATAAAGGGATGATCCCAGCAGCATGTATGATGCTGTATATCTTCACGAGTACTTTGGGTTACATGATAATTCCGTTTGCTATGGTGGGCGAAATATTTCCGTCCAAAGTCAAGGACATACTGTCCGGCCTAACAGTTGCTATAGGTTACGTCTTTAGTGCAATAACCATTAAGATATATCCAGATATGCTAAAATTGATGAACATGCACGGCTTATTTCTCTTCTTCGCGATTATCTCTTTCGTCGGCGTAATATTTATCGTGTTATTCTTACCCGAGACAAAAGGAAAGAGTCTGCGCGAAATCGAGGATATGTTTTCCAAGAAGAAGGTCTTTGAATTATCGGCGGAAGAAGCAGACGAAGAAAGCACTTCAAACGCTATCAGTCTATTAAGAAATTAAAAAAAAATTGCTTATATATGTTAAGAAATAAAGCGTGAATCGCAATTAATAATAAATATTTGAAAGAAGAAGAGATTAGATCGCACAATGTTGTGCGGATGAAACAAACGTCATTTTGTGATGCTTCGAGGTGCAATAATTTTTAAAAGATATAATTAAAGTAATAAAATAACTCAATTTTTAATTTAAATACGAGATGTCTTTTTAATATGTTATATAGTTGTAAAGACTTAAGGAAATTAGAAAATGCAGAGATATATCAATGTTTACAAAGAGAAAACTTATTGCGAGAAAACTTATTATCTCGATAAAGATTTTCAGAATGATGACGTAAATAGTGTTATATATTAAAACTTAATACTAATGTGTTTGTAATATGTAAAAATCCTCGCATTAATTGAATAGAAAATGGCTTTCCATCGAATTATCTGAATTTTCTATGTTTTTGATTAAAACATTCTGATCAAAAGTTTCAATGGACACAACTTTTGAAAATGTGCAATTTCGGCGCTATTGATCTTATAACGTTGCCTTTGTACGTATGCGACTAATGATACAAGAGAGATTTCCTTATACTTACAAAATAAATTAAATGTTTATATATTTAATATATGTAGATTCTTAACATACACACTCCCACATGCATAAATAACACATTTATATAGGATGGGGTAATAACTATTACCACCTTAAATATCTCCGAATCTATAAGGTTTAGAGAAAAATTTGCAACCAAAATTGCACGGTACAAGGAGGAGCTATGATAGGCGATAATAATTTTTATCCAGGAGGAGACGTTTCGGAGATTTTAAAGTTATCTTCATTTTTTTTAATGGAATCATCCTAATTTTTTTATACATATAAATCGACTTTTTGTAATATTTTACGTAAAAAGTTGAAGAATAATAAAAAATTGAATAATTTACGAGATATTTTATATTTTTACTTAACAAAGTTTTACGCAAATCATAAAATATTTCGTAAAATATTTATTTTTCGATTATTTTACCTTAATATTTTTATGTACAGAATAATGGGAGGAATCAATTGATGTAAAGAAAACACATAATTATTCTTGCAAAAAATATGTAGCTACTCGTTGCAAATTCATTTTATTTTTTTCTTAAAAACAATTATGTGTTTTCCTTACAATTGATTTCTCTCACTATTCTGCGCATAAAAGTATTGAGATAAGATAATCAAAAAATAAATATTTTATGAGATTTTTGTTATAGTTTATATAAAATTTTATCAATTATTATAAAAGTACATAAAAGTATTGAAGTGAGATAATCGAAAAATAAATATTTTATGAGAAATTTTATAGTTTATGCAAAATTTTATCAACTAAAAGCATATAAAAATATTGAGGTTAGATAATCAAAAAAATAAATATTTTATGAGCTATTTTACGTTTTATGTGTGTAAAATTTTATCAACTAAAAGTATAAAATATCTCGTAAACTATTCAATTTTTAGCGATCTTACATTCATAACATTTACGTGAAATATTGTGAGAAATCAATTTATTACATATGTATAAAAAAATTAGAATAGTTCTATTAAAAAAATAAAGATAACTTTGAAATCTTTGAAATGTCTCCTCCTGGACAAAAATTGTTATCGCCATGTCATAGCACCCTTTGTACCGTGCAATTGTAGTTTCACAAATTTTCCTCTAGATTTTATAGATTCGAAGATATTTAATGTGATAATAGTTATTGTCCTATCCTGTACAGATGTGTTACTGTATATGTATGCATGTGAGTGTGTGCGTGTGTGTGTGTTAAGAATCTACATATATTATACATATATAAACATTTAATTAATTAATATACCTTGTAAGTATAAGGAAACTTTCCCTGTATCACTAGTCGCATACGTAAAAGGGCAACGTTCTAAGATCAATAGTGTCGAAGCTGTTCATTTTCGCATTTTCGAGAGTTGTGCTCGTTGAGACATTTGATCAGAATGTCCTAATGTAAAATATATCAAAAACACAGCCATTTGACGCAAAATTTTCTATCAAATTAGTGCGAGATCTTTTAAAAATTAAATTCATACTAGCCTGAAATTTATTAATTTTTTAATGGAGATGTATGTATAATTTTAAAAAAGATGAAACGCCACACATATCGGACTATTTTAAAATCCATTTACGTTTAATAGTTTAAATTTTCGAGAACTGAAGCTCAAGGTTCCATAATATCATTGTATTGTAAATATTTCTTATCGATCAGAAAGATTAATGTACTGTCTTTATTGCTGATCTAAAAAAAAGATATTACATAAAATATCGATAATATGTGCTGTATTAAGACTTGTTTAATACTTATGTAATACGTGTAATGTATAAAGACTATATAAGACTTATTTTCATTATGATAAACTGCAATACCACTCGACAATCAAAAATATTGTAAAGTAATAGAAATAAAGCAAAAAAATAAATAAATGAAATTAAGATAGTGCTTATATAAGTGTTAAATATACACAAGTCGCAATATTTTATTTGTTTCCGTTAATTGTCCTTATATCAATAAATGTAAATTAAAATAAATTTATTCTTTTTGTGATAAAATCCGAGCTGATGGATTAACGCAAGGATAAGAATCGAATGTTGAACGATAATAAGCATAAAAATATTCCAGTGCAACATTATTTACATATTCAACATTGAAGAACTTTCTGATGCTTTCTGATGCTGCAATTGAATTTACTTCTCAATTAGAATATCATGTTATAAAGAATGTCTTTTGCATCTTAATAATTTTTAATAAGTTATATACCTACTTTATTTTGTACAAATTATTTTGCAAATGTGCGATTTCAGAATCTCAAAAACAAGTGATTTTGTAGAACTTCAAAATTTGTCAATTCTAAAGTTCTTTTAATTTTTCTTCTATTGATTAAATCAATTGATAGTCTACACATTCATGTAAGCCATTAAAGATATTAAAAATGCATTACATATGACTATGTAAATACATACGTACATATATACATTACATATAAAGATATATACATTCTGTGAAAAAACTCGCAAAATCTTTCTTCATTTCTTCTGAATGTTTGATCAATTAGAAAGGCTCTTGAAAAAAGAATTCGCATATACGTAAATCCTATATATATAATCTCGTTACAATTTTTGTGTAAAACTATTTACGCATATTTAATATACTGATATATACTGATTCTTTTAATCTCAAAATTATGTTTATATTTTACAATTATAATTATTGTTTATATTTCACATAATCATTAACATAATAGTACATAAATAACTCATATAATTAGATATAAGTAGAACAATTAATACCTCAGATTTAATTATATTAGCATAAAAAAATAGAGAGTTATAATAAACGTTTTGAATGTGGACAAAATATTTTACGCATAAACATTTTCACGCACAATTACATTCTATTGTCTTTTTTATAGTTGTCTGTTTATTAGTCTCAATATAAAAATAAAATTATGTATATATATTTGACATTTGCAAATGTTTCGCTACGATGGTAAATTGACATTCGCGATACGAATGATCTCGGAATGGGAAAGTATAGTCGGGAATACACTAAATGATAAATAAATCCTTGCGTCATTTTCAGTCGATAACGAATTCCTACTAGTCACAATCGCGGTCTATGTATTGCACGCTATTCGAGAAGCTTGTGAAGTTATTGGTTTACTAGAAAAAAAAATATTCCCTGGAAGAAGATCAATTATAGTGTACGGATCTATTTTTACATCACTCTGGGCTTGTTACAACGAGAAGAAATCGCTCGAACTGGAAAACAAATATTTAGCGCGCCCTTTCTGAAATTCAGAGATGTACTTGTGAGATTTGAAAATACATAAGTTAAAAAAACGCGATAGATGTCCCTTAGAATTTTTCGGAATGAGATCTCGAACATCGCACATGTACTTCGCTTGAATTTGCAATTAACAGGACAATAAATTAGATATTTGTTATTGTCAAAAAGATAAGATCAAAGATAAACAATCTCGCGCGAGTAGATTATACAATTATTCGCAAAACTTTTTTATATCTTTTACGTAGTCAGTATACACACAACCAGTTCATGAATGTTGATGAGACTTAAAATACTTAGTAATATAATATCGAGCTAATTATCAAATATATAATTATGGATTATAAACATATGTGAAATTGTGAGCCATGAAAGAAAGTGCGAGAAGAGAAGTGGTTTGTATAAAATATGAAAAGGGATTAATGTTTTTAAAATTATAAATCATATTCTTTTGCTCGAGAGCTGAAAAAATATTGCTGTATCAATTATTATCATATTATTCGATTAATTAAAATTAGTCTTATATCATTCAATTGATAATTAATCGAGAAACAAGTGCATTAAAAGAAGAAGACTGACCATGACGAATGTAATGGACATTAATAACGCAAGTGAACGTATATTATTTGATACTAGTGATGCAAATAAACAAACTGCCATTAATAACGCTAATGAGTTAACAAATATTAATAATAATATCGTAAATAATCAAATGGACATTAGCAATATAAGTGAACACATGTCGACAGGTAGACATGCAGACAAGATTACACACAAGGTACGTATATATTTCCGATCACATGCAATAGGTCTGAATTTTGATGTCACAATAAATTACAATTTTTTTTAAGTTATTTCTCGTGTTTGAATTTTAGTGCTCTCTGTGTTTTTCTTTAATTTCTCAATTAATTTATTTTAACTTAGTTTTTTCTCGATTGTTTTGATATTATTGTTAAAAAAATTTCTTGATACAATTGATATATAATTTTTTTCGAAAATCAGAGGAAAATGTTCTTCGTTTTTTCAAAATTATTTACATTATATTTCAAAATCCACTTTTCTTTTTAGAAAACATCAGGGATTCGTCGTTTTTACTTTCTGCAGATCTCTTTCTATAATTCCCTTTCTATTTCTAATTAATTTTTAAAAGACATTTATTTTTGAAAAATGTTGCATTGTTCGCATTGCAATAACACTTCAAAGTTTAACAAATTTTATTGATTCATTTCATTCGTTATCGAATAATGTAGGTAGGTTTTATAGTATGAGCTAATACACGTTGCGATTACTCATCCACCTACCGAACAAAAATAGATTTGTTCAGCTATGTATTACATTCGATATTATTAGAATATTGTTTGACAATTTTCTATTAATCTTAAGATTAAATACAGATCATACATTTCGTGACAAAGGAATGTTACACAAATTTTAAAAGGCGTGATATGGAAATGCAAATGATAATCTATAAACTCTAATAATCTTGTCTTTTTACAGATGGAATCCAACATTGTCGAAGAGAAAAAATGGAAACGAAATGGACTCGTTTATCAAGTATATATTAAAGCTTTTTCAAAATATATATATATTTGAAAATATTATGACATTACAATATTTTTAAATATATTTTCTTCAAAAAGCAAAGATAAAGATTTAAAATATTACGTCAAAATTACAGATTATAATATCATTTATCAATTATTTATACAAATTAATACACGTAAGCAAAAATGACATAATAAAATAATTAATACCTAAAGCACATGGTTGATGAAAAATACTATTTAACCGATATAAAAATTAAATAAACTCTATAGAAATTAGCTAATAATATTAAATTTACTAATTAATTATTAATAAATTTAAATATTACATATATTGTTATATATATTAAATATTATAAATATTATATTATTTTATATTGCGAAATTTTAAAGTATAATTACTGGCTTTTAATATTAGTAGCATAACAACGTAACACTGTCTATATTCTGATAAAATATGATTTAAAAAAATTAGAAAAAAAACGAAATCTCCATGTAATTTACTTCAAAGATCTCATTAATTCATTAAAATTATTTTCGAAAAAAAAACAAATTAAATATATAAGAGAACTAGAATTTCTTTATTTTATTAAAAGAAAATATTATAAAGGAAAACAATATTATGTTAAAAAATAATTAAAAATCAAATTTATTTCTTTATTTTTTACAATAAGGCATTTTTTCCAACTTTTATTTTTAGCAGAAAAATAAATAGACTTATTAATATATGTGCGATTGATACTTTTGTTTGATTCGCAATATTTCTTTTGCAGATATTAGTGAGCTTAAGTGTCAATGTTGTTATAATGGGTCCAACGATGAGTTTTGGTTACAGTGCCGTGGCGGAACCTGTGATGACAGCTCCAAAAACCGACGATTTACAACTTGATGCTGTTCAGGCAAATTGGATGGGTCAGTGATATAAAATTTGTCGAAAGATTCTTTACGACTTTCAATTATTGAAAAGAAAAATTTAGATAATTTTCTTTCTTATTTAATAAAAATAAATATGTTGCAGCTACTGCAACTGCGATATGTATACCTTTTGGTTCCTTAATCTCAAGCCTCGTGTTAAGTCGAGGAAGGAAGAACGGATTATTTGTGACATCGTTAGTCTCACTGACGGGTTGGGTGACGATTTGCACATCGAACAGTTACGAGCAAATTCTGATAGGGAGAATAATTAGTGGTATATCTGTGGGCTTGTCAATCATTTCGACGACACTATATGTGGCGGAAATAGCGGAAACAAAGTGGCGAGATACGATGCTCGCGTGGATCAGCATCTCTAGCAATTTCTCTATTCTCATCGTTTACATCTTTGGATATATTTTCAAGGTAAACTTGTTCACGAATTGTATTTAATCGATCTAGTATTTCTCTGTTGTCATTACTTACTAAAAAACAATAACTAATTCTTGTCTAAACAAGCTTAAAAATTAAAGCTTGTTTAAAAATTCCGTAAATTAAATGCTATCATTATAGTTATATAATTATTGTTATATGAATGATGATGCATGTAATCCTCGTAACCCCATTTTTTTCACTTAAAGGACAACTGGCGACTAGTAGCCATGATGTGCGCTCTATTCTCAGTGGTGGCAATTGTTCTAATTTTACTAGTGATACCCGAGACGCCATTATGGCTGCGGGATCAAAATCGACCCGAGGAAGCGCTGAAGATGATGAAAAAGTTCCGCGGCATACCAAAAGACCAACCAGCTCCAGCGAAAGTATTGTTCGAGCTTAAGCCGCAGCTACAAAAGAAAAATCAGAATCTGCTGCGACACCTGATAAAGAGGAGTTCCCTAGTGCCATTCGTCATTATGGTCAGCTTCTTTTTTTTTCAACAATTCTCCGGACTCTACGTTGTTATATATAACGCCGTCGAGATTATGGATAAATCTGGAATCCTGATAGATCCTTACATCGGCGCCATACTAATAGGTGTCGCACGTTTTATAGCCACTTTCGTAGTGGCCGGTTTGGCCAAAAAATTTGGTCGACGATTACCGTCGATTATTTCCGGTATCGGGATGACAATTTTCATGAGCGGCTTGTCGCTCTATCTGTTCCTGATCGAAAACGGAACTGTCATATCGGATAACGGAATAATCCCAGTAGCATGTATAATGTTATACGTTTTCATCAGCACTCTGGGTTTTCTGGTGATACCATTCGTCATGGTGTGCGAAATATATCCATCCAAGGTCAAGGACATACTGTCCGGCCTAACAGTTGCTATAGCTTACGTCTTTAGTGCAATAACCATTAAGATATATCCAGATATGCTAAAATTGATGAACATGCACGGCTTATTTCTCTTCTTCGCGATTATCTCTTTCGTCGGCGTAATATTTATCGTGTTATTCTTACCCGAGACAAAAGGAAAGAGTCTGCGCGAAATCGAGGATATGTTCTCCAAGAAGAAAGTTTTTGAATTACCAATGGAAGGAGTAGTCGGAGAAAAAACTTCGAACACGACCTTATAAGAAATTAAGAATATTTATGAATAAGAGAAATAAATTATAAAGATTATTATATTAGTATTAAGTTATGTAGAGAAAGATGAGATCAAATCGCGCAATGTTATGCGATTCATGAAATATTATAAATGTTACATCGTTTTCAGATTCGAGGTGCAATGATTCTAGTAGTTTAATTAAAATAATATGATGACATAATATTCATTTAAAATATGAAATCTCTTCTTAATAGATTTTTTAGTATATTATATATTTCATAAAGAATTAAAAAGTGGAAAATATATAAATCAACGTTTACAAAGAAGAAATGACCTTATCATCTGAATAAAAAATTTTCAAATTTTTCAAATTTTTTTATCTTTATAATGCACAATGTGCCAGCAAACTATGTAAACTTAGAAGTAATGTGTATTACAAAAGAGAGAATTTTTGTCATCGAAATAAGAGTTTTCAGAATGATGACGTAAACAGTATTACAAATCTTAGATTCATATGCAAAATGAGTGAATTTAGAGATTATATTCGTACTAGCTTGGGATTCTTATATAAAAGAGATGTGTAATTTCGAAAAAGATAAGACGACACACATATCGGATTTATTTTATTAAAATTCACTATTTACCGTTTAATAGTTTAAGCGGAGTTGAATCTTCGAGAAGGGAAATACAAAGTTCTATAATTCATTGTATTGTAAATATTGCTCATCACGAAAAGATAGATTAATGTGCTATCTTTATTGCTGATCTAAAAATGATTTTGTGCAATACATGTACTATAAGAACTATTAGAACTTGTATTGGAACTTGTATAAAACTTATGTAAGACGTATAATATATAAAGACTACATAAAATTTATTTTTATTATAATAAATTGCAATACCATTCAATCGAAAATATTATGAAATAATAATGAAATAAAAAATGAATATAGTACTTATTATAAGCGTTAAATGTAGACAGATCAATATTTTGTTTTTGTTAATTCCTTATGTCAATAAATGTAAGTTAAATTTGATTTATTCTATCCGCAAGTAAAACCAGGCTGAACGGATTAAAGCAATAATAAGAATCAAATGTTGACTGATAAAAATATTCGCAACATTATTTACATATTCAACATTGAAGAGCTTTCTATAATTGAATTTACTTCGCAATTAAAATCACCATTTATATTGCATTATATCATTTATATCATTTTATAAAGAATGTCTTTTGTATTTTAATATTTTTTATTAAGATATGTATCTGCTTTATTTCGTACAAATTATTTTGCAAACAAGCAATTTTGTTCCTCAAAATTCTCTCAACTTCAAAATTTGTTAATTTTAAAGTTCTTTCAGTTTGTCGATTAAATTCAATTAAAAAATAATCAAATTTGCAAATTCATGTAAGTTATTAAAGATGTGAAAAATGTATTACACATATGATGATATAATTTCATATGTTTTTTTGTACTTTCTATTTATTTTGTACAAATTTTTAGTTGGCGCAATTTTTATATATCATTATTTTTGTAGACAATATGACAGTTCGATTCATTTAGTGCATGAACTTGGCGCTTTTTTGAATCTTTTTTTAAAAAGGTAAGTTGTTGGAGATTTCACAATATATAAATATTAGCGTGAAAAATAGAATTATGAAAAGAGTTTCGAATCTGGATAAAATATTGTTATTTTATATATTATGCTAATTGTTCTCTTGTTTTTACACTGAGAAAAATATCCGGTGAAAAGGTAACGAATGGATATTATATCGATCACTTTAATCGGCATCACTTTACTACGGCATATCAGATGTTGTAGTGGTACACCTGTAATGTTTGCGCGCATTAGAAACATACATCAGAGTGATAAGAACTCATTTGAGTGGTTTGATTTTAGTTTCTGTAACAAAAATTACTACAATTATTAAAAATGGCCCCGACGTGCCAGATTTCATATGAATTGTGAGTCAAGATTATTATTTTACAAGATTATTATTTTACAAGAAAAAGGATATAGCATCCGGTAAATATCAAAGAAATTAAAGTTATTTTCTTTATATTGTATACTTTTATAAAGTGTATCCAAACTTGTGAAGGGTAGTGTACATATATATTTGACATTTGCAAATGTTCAGCCACGATATGGTTGTCATTCGCGATATGAATAATCTCGGAATGGAAAAAAACAGTCGAAGATACACTAAATGAAATCCCTGAGTCATTTTCAGTCAACAAAGAGTTCCCACCTCTCACAATCGCGGTCTACATATCGCACGATCGAGAAGCTTGTGAAGTTGTTGATATACTAGAAAGAGAAATATTGCCTGGAAGAAGATCGATTATGATGTATGGATCTATTTTCAAAACATTCTGTGCTGTTACAACGAGAAGAAATCGCTCGAACTGAAAAACAAATATTTAGCGCGCATTTTCTGAAATTCAGAGATGTACTTGGGAGACTTGAAACACATGAGTTGAAAAAACGCGATAGATATTCCTTAGAATATCTCGGAGCGACGTCTCGAACATCGCTCGTGCACTTCGCTTGAATTTGCAATTAACAGGGCAATAAATTAGATATATTTGTTATTGTCAAATAAAGATAAGAGCAAAGGTAGACAATCTCGCGCGAGTAGATTGTACAATTATTCACAAAACTCTTTCGTATCTTTTACGTAGTCAGTATACATACAACCAGTTCATAAATGTTGATGAGACTTAAAGTACTTTATAATATAATATCGAGCTAATTATTAAATATATAATTATGAATTATAAACATATGTAAAATTCTGTGGCGTGGAAGAAAGTGCGAGAAGAGAAGTGGTTTTTGTGAAATATGAAAAGGGATTAATGTTTTTAAAATTATAAATAGTATTCTTTTGCTCGACAGCTGAAAAAATATTGCTACATCAATTATTATCATATTATTCGATTAATTAAAATTATTCTTATATTATTTAATTGATTATTAATTGAGAAACAAGTTAAAAGGAGAAGACTATCATGACGAATGTAATGGACATTAGTAATGCAGGAGGACAAATATTATTTGATACTAGTGATGCAAATAAACAAACTGCTTTATAACGATAATGAGTTAACGAACATTAAGAATAATATCGTAAATAAACAAATGGACATTAGCAATATAAGTGAACACATGTCGACATGTATCGACAAGATTACACATAAAGTACGTATATATTTATATCAAATGCAATAGGTCTGGATTTTAATGTCACAAATAAATTACAATTTTTTTAAAGTTACTTCTCATGCTTGAATTTTAGTGCTCTCTGTGTTTTTCTTTATTTTTTCAAGTAATCTTTCTCGATTTCTTTTGATTTTATTATTAAAAAATTTCTTGATATACAAATGATATTTAATTTTTTAAAAAATTAGAGAAAAATATTCTTCGTTTTTCCAAATTCTTCGTTCTTCAAAATATAATTATAAATTATAAATTATAAATTATAAAATATTTACAATATTTAAAAAATTATAAATTATTTATATATTTTTCATTATCTACTTTTCCGTTCAGAAATCATCAGGTATTCATCGCTTTTGTACTTTATTGTATATCTCTTTTTTGTATATCTCTTTCTATAATCCCCTTTCTATTTCTAATTAAATTTAAAAGACATTTATTTTTGAAAAATGTTATTGCATTGTTCGCATTGCAGTAACACTTCAGAGTTTAGCAAATTTCATTGATTTTCATTTCATTCGTTATCGAACAATGTAGGTAGGTATCAGGATTGGGAAGTAACACGTTACTTGTCGTTACTGTTACAATTACTTTTTTCGATAACGTTACAAATTTCGTTTGTAACGAAAAAAGTAACTTCATTACATTTTTCGATAACGAGTAATGAATTTAACAGTTACATTTATCGTTACTTTTTGCAAATTTACTCGGTGCAATTTTTATTCAAAGAAGAGTATGGAATGCAGAATCACATGTATGTAAACGCGTCATTGGACACATGTGAAAAAAAAAGTTTAGTGAAGATGTTCAGTGTCGGTGGATCTGTATTAACGCCACAAAGAGGGCAGCTAAATGATGACACAGTTGAACAGCAAATTCTTTTAAAAATTAATAAAGAATTTCGATAAAATTTAGTAATGTTTTATTTATTTGAAAATAAACCCTGTAATATTTAATAAACTTATATTTAAAAAAGTAACGAAAATTGTAACGTCGCGTTATTTTTAAGTAACGGCAACGGTTACTTTTGAAAATTGATAACATATAACGAGTTATTTTTTAGAAAAAAGAACGGTAACGGTAATGAGTTACTTTTAAAAAGTAACTTTCCCAACCCTGATAGGTATTATAGTATGAGCAGATACGCGTTGCGATTACGCATGCTTTTACCGAGCAAAAATTTGTTCAACTATGTATTACATTTGGCTATTGCTAGAATATTGTTTGACAATTTTCTATTAACCTTAAGATTAAATACATCATACATTTTGTGACAAAAGAATATTACACAAATTTACAAGATACGATATAAAAACGCAAATGATAATCTATAAATCTTGTCTCTTTACAGATGGAATCCAACATTGCCGAAGAGAAAAAATGGAAACGAAATGGACTCATTTATCAAGTATATATTAAAACTTTTCATATACGTTTTTGAAAATAATATGACATTACATTTTTTCTAAATGTATTTCCTTTAAAAGGCAAAGATAAAGATTTAATTTTTTACGTCAGAATTACAGATTATAATATCATTTATCAATTATTTATACAAATTAATACACGTAAGCATAGATGACATAATAGAATAATTAGTACCTAAAGCACATCGCTGATGAAAAATACTACTTAACCGACATAAAAATTGGATAAACTCTATAGAAATTAGATAATAATATTAAATTTACTAACTAATTATTAATAAATTTAAATATTAATTTAATATTTTATTAATTAATTTATTTAATTTATTAAATGAATTAATTAATTATTAATATTTAACCTTTTAAATACGGCGGTCGTCAAATGTAAACAATTTTATCATAAAGAATGTTAAAATTAGCTTAATTTTTGAAAGAATAGTATTTATATCATTTCCATAGTGTCATATCTCGTTTTATATATACATATATATCCTTGTATATATATACATATATAGTTTATCCTTGATATCTCAAAAAATTTCGAACTTCATTGCACAGTAATGATAAGACATGCTCTATATTAAAAGGTATTTCCTCTTAAGTCATCTTAATATCTATACAATTTGTATGATGCGCTATCGCGCATAATATATTACGTTTTGTGCTTCGAGGAAAATAAAACTCAATGATTTTTTATTGCGAAATTTTAAAGTATAATTGCTTGCTTCTAATATTATTTGCGTAACAACGTAACAATGTATCTATATTCTGATAAAATAAAATTAGAAAATAAAATTAGAAAAAATTAGAAAAGGAACGAAATTTCCATGTAATTTATTCCAAAGGACTCATTAACTTATTAAAATTACTTTCGAAAAAAACAAATTAAAAATATAAGAGCATTAAAATTTCTTTATTTTATTATAAGAAAATATTATAAAGAAAAACAATATTAAAAAATACTTAAAAATTAAATTTATTTGTTTATTTTTTCCAATAATTTTTCCATTTTTTCCAACTTTTGTTTTTAGCAGAAGAATAAATAGATTTATTAATATATGTGCGTTTGATACTTCTGTTTGATTCGCAGTGTTTCTTTTCCAGACATTAATAAGCTTATGTGCCGCTGTTGTTATGATGGGTCCACTGATGAGTTTTGGTTACAGTGCCGTGGCGGAACCAGTGATGACAGCTCCAAAAACCGACGATTTACAACTTGACGCTGATCAAGCAAACTGGATGGGTCAGTGATATAAAATTTGTCGAAGGATTCTTTACGACTTTCAATTATTGAAAAGAAAAAGTTAGATAATTTTCTTTGTTACTTACTAACAATAAATATGTTGCAGCTACTGCAACTGCGATAAGTATACCTTTTGGTTCCTTAATCTCGAGCCTCGCGTTAAGTCGAGGAAGGAAGATCGGATTATTCGTGACATCGTTAACCTCACTGACGGGTTGGGTGACGATTTGCACATCGAACAGTTACGAGCAAATTTTGATAGGGAGAATAATTACTGGTATATCTGTGGGCTTGTCAGTCATTTCGACGACACTATATGTGGCGGAAATAGCGGAAACAAAGTGGCGAGACACGATGCTCGCGTGGGTCAGCATCTCTGGCAATTTCTCTATTCTCATCGTTTACATCTTTGGATATATTTCCAAGGTAAACTTGTTCACGAATTATATTTAATCGATCTCGTATTTCTCTGTAATCATTACTTACTAGAAAACAATAACTAATTCTTGTCTAAACAAGCTTTACAACAAAAATTAAAGCTTGTTTAAAAATTCCGTAAATTAAATGCTATCATTATAGTTATATAATTATTGTTATATGAATGATGATGCATGTAATCCTCGTAACTCCATTTTTTTCACTTAAAGGACAACTGGCGACTAGTAGCTATGATGTGCGCTCTATTCCCAGCGGTGACAATTGTTCTAATTTTGCTACTGATACCCGAGACGCCACTATGGTTGCGGGATCAAAATCGACCCGAGGAAGCGCTGAAGATGATGAAAAAGTTTCGCGGCATACCAAAAGACCAACCGGCTCCTGCGAAAGTATTGTTCGAGCTTAAGCCGCAGCTACAAAAGAAGAATCAGAATCTGCTGCGACATCTGATAAAGAGAAGTTCCATAGTGCCATTCGTCATTATGGTCAGCTTCTTTTTTTTTCAACAATTTTCCGGAATCTACATTGTCATATATAACGCCGTCGGGATTATGGATAAATCTGGAATCCAGATAGATCCTTACATCGGCGCCATACTAATAGGTGTCGCACGTTTCATAGCCACTCTCGTAATGGCCGGTTTGACCAAAACATTTGGTCGACGATTCCTGTCGATTCTTTCCGGTATCGGGATGACAATTTTCATGAGCGGTTTGTCGCTCTATCTCTTCTTGATTGAAAACGGAACTGTCATATCGGATAACGGGATAATCCCAGTAGCATGTATGTTATTATACGTTTTCACCAGCACTCTGGGTTATCTGTTGATACCGTTCATCATGGTGAGCGAAATATATCCATCCAAAGTCAAGGACGTATTGTCCGGTCTGTCGGTTACTATAGGTTATATCTTTAGTGCAATAACCATTAAGACGTATCCAGACATGTTGAGACTGATGAGTATGCAAGGTTTATTTCTCTTCTTCGCAATTATCTCTTTAATCGGTGTGATATTCATCTTTTTATTCTTACCCGAGACAAAAGGAAAAACTCTATGCGAGATCGAGGATATATTCTCCAAGAAGAAAGTTTTTGAATTACCAATGGAAGGAGTAGTCGGAAAAAATGCTTCAAACACGACCTTATAAGAAATTAAGAATATTTATAAATAAGAGAAATAAATTACAAAGATTATTATATTAGTATTAAGTATGAAGAGAAAGATGAGATCAAATCGCGCAATGTTGTGCGATTCATGAAATAAATGTTACATCGTTTTCAGATTCGAGGTGCAATGGTTCTGGTAGTTTAATTAAAGTAATATGATGACATAATATTTATTTGGAATATGAATTCTCTTCTTAACAGATTTTTTAGTATGTTACATATTTTATAAAGAATTAAAAAGTAGAAAATATATAGATCTGCGTTCACAAAAAAATGATCTTATCATCTGATTAAAATTTTTCAAAATAAAAACGTGAACAGTATTATATACCTGAAATAATATCTTTATAATGTATAATAATGTGCCCGCAAACTATGTAAACTTAGAAGTAGTGTGTATTATGAAAGAGAGAACTTTTGTTATCGAAATAAGAGTTTTCAGAATGATGACGTAAACAGTATTACAAATCTTAGATTCATATGCAAAATGAGTGAATTTAGAGATTATATTCGTACTAGCTTGAGATTCTCATATAAAAAAGATGTGTAATTTCGAAAAAGATAAGACGACACACATATCGGATTTATTTGATTAAAATCTACTATTTACCGTTTAATAGTTTAAGCGGAGTTAAATCGTCGAGAAATGTACAAGGTTCTATAATTCATTGTACTGTAAATATTGAATACCCCGAAGAAGTAGATTAATGTGCTATCTTTATTGATGATCTAAAAAACGACTTTGTGCAATACATGTGCTATTAGAACTTGTATTAGAACTTATATAAAATGTAAGACATATAATGTATAAAGATTATATAAAATTTATTTTCATTATAATAAATTGCAATACCATTCAATCGAAAATATTATGAAGTAACAATGAAATAAAACATAAATATAGTACTTATTATAAGTGTTAAATATAGACAGCAATGTTAAATATAGATCGCAATATTTTGTTTTCATTAATTTCTTATGTCAATAAATGTAAGTTAAATTTGATTTATTCTATCCGCGATAAAACCAGGCTGGACGGATTGAAGCAATGATAAGAATCGAATGTTAATTGATAAGAATATTCGCAACATTATTTACATATTCAACATTGAAGAGCTTTCTGTAACTGAATTTACTTCGCAATTAAAATCACCATTTATATTGCATTATCATTTATATGATTTTATAAAGAATGTCTTTTGTATTTTAATATATTTTATTAAGATATGTATCCGCTTTATTTCGTATAAATTATTTTGCAAACAAGCGATTTTGTAAAACCTCAAAATTTGTCAATTTTAAACTTCTTTCGGTTTATCGATTAAATTCAATTAAAAAATAATCAAATTCATGTAAGCTATTAGAGATATTAAATATATATTACACATATGATGATATAATTTCATATGTTTTTTGGTACTTTCTATTTATCTTGTACAAATTTTTATTCTTAGTTGGCGCAATTTTTATATATCATTATTTTTGTAGACAATATGACAGTTCGATTCATTTAGTGCATAAACTTGGCGTTTTTTTTATCTTTTTTTAAAAAGGTAAGTTGTTGGATATTTCACAGAATATAAATATTAACGTGAAAAAATAGAATTATGAAAAGAGTTTCGAATCTGGATAAAATATTGTTATTTTACATATTATGCTAATTGTTCTCTTGTTTTTATACATAATAATTCGTTTATATTTTTCTTCTTTTTTCGTTATAAATAAATCAGAACAATCTTGAAATGTGACGATAAATATTTTATGCATTTCTTTCCATTAATGTCGTTATTAATCCTCTCGCTACCTTTAGGTCTTTTGAAATGTTTTGGTAATTTTATATGTTGGCATCTTAAAGCGTTCAAGTATTATCACATTATGTTATTGGCGCCTCTTCAGGCACTCAGTATTTATATTACCATTCTTCAAATATCTTCATACTAGTAATTGATATGCGATGCGCGAAAAGTTTCCCCATTTATAGCGATTACGGCTAAATATGTGCTGTCTATCACGCGCGCTTTGCATTAGGCTTCGCCGCAACGAAAGGATTAAAGCAATTACTGTGTCTCATGAAGCAATATACACAATTATACAATTATCATTTATTGTTTTTTTTTACACAAGTATCTGTTTTAAAAATAAAACTTTGATATTTGCAAATGTTCAGCCACGATATGGTAAATTATCATTCGCGATATGAATGATCTTGGAATGGAAAAAAACAGTTGAGGATACACTAAATGAAATCCCTGAGTCATTTTCAATCGATAAAAAGTTCCCACTGCTCGCGGCCTACACATCGCACGATTGAGTAGCTCGTGAAGTTATTTGTCTACTAGAAAGAGAAATATTCCCTCGAAGAAGATCGATTATGATGTATGGATCTATTTTCAAAATACCCTGTGCTTATTACAACGAGAAAAAATCGCTCGAACTGAAAAACAAATATTTAGCGCGCCTTTTCTGAAATTCAGAGATGTACTTGTGAGACTTGAAAACACATGAGTTGAAATGCCTGAATTTGCAGTTAATAAGACAATAAATTACATATATTTGTTATTGTCAAATAAAGATAAAATCAAAGGTAGACAATCTCGCGCGAGTAGATTGTACAATTATTCACAAAACTCTTTCGTATCCTTTACGTCAGTATATATACAACCAGTCCATAAATGTTGATGAGACTTAAAGCACTTTGTAATATAATATCGAGCTAATTATCAAATATGAATATAATTATGAATTATAAACATATGTAAAATTCTGTGCCGTGGAAGAAAGTGCGAGAAGAGAAGTGATTTTTGTGAAATATGAAAAGGGATTAATGTTTTTAAAATTATAAATCATATTCTTTTGTTCGACAGCTGAAAAAATATTGCTGCATTAATTATTATCATATTATTCGATTAATTAAAATTATTCTTATATTATTTAATTGATTATTAATCGAGAAACAAGTTAAAAGGAGAAGATTATCATGACGAATGTAATGGACATTAATAATGTAGGTGGACGAATATTATTTGATACTAGTGATGCAAATAAACAAACTGCCATTTATAACGATAATAAGTTAACGAACATTAAGAATAATATCGTAAATAAACAAATGGACGTTAGCAATATAAGTGAACACATGTCGACATGTAGACATGTAGACAAGATTACACATAAAGTACGTATTTATTTATATCAAATGCAATAGGTCTGGATTTTAATGTCACAATTAAATTACAATTTTTTAGAAGTTATTTCTTATGTTTGAAGTTTAATGCTCTCTGCGTTTTTCTTTATTTTCTCAAGTAATTTTTCTCGATTCTTTTGATTTTATTGTTAAAAAATTTCTTGATATGCAAATGATATATAATTTTTTCAAAAATTAGAGAAAAATGTTCTTCGTTTTTCCAAAATTATAATTATAAATTATAAATTAAAAATTATAAAATATTTACAATATTTAAAAAATTATAAATTATTTACATTATTTTTCATTATATACTTTTCCGTTCAGAAATCATCGGATATTCGTCGCTTTTGTACTTTATTGTATATCTCTTTCTATGATTCTCTTTCTATTTCCAATTAAATTTAAAAGACATTTATTTTCGAAAAATGTTGTTGCATTGTTCGCATTGCAATAACACTTCAGAGTTTAGCAAATATCATTGATTTTCATTTCATTCGTTATCGAACAATGTAGGTAGGCATTATAGTATAAGATACGCGTTGCGATTACGCATGCTCTTACCAAACATAAATTTATTCAGTTATGTATTACATTTGGATATTGCTAGAATATTGTTTGACAATTTTCTATTAATCTTAAGATTAAATACATACATCATACATTTCGTGACAAAGGAATGTTACACAAATTTTAATAAGTGTGATATGGAAATGATGACCTATAAACTCTATTAATCTTGTCTTTTTACAGATGGAATCCAACATTGTCGAAGAGAAAAAATGGAAACGAAATGGACTCGTTTATCAAGTATATATTAAAGCTTTTCTTATATGTTTTTGAAAATAATATGACATTATATTTTTTTTAAATGTACTTCCTTTAAAAAGCAAAGATAAAGATTTAATTTATTATGTCATAATTACAAATTATAATATCATTTATCAATTATTTATACAAATTAATACACGTAAGCATAGATGACATAATAACTAGTATCTAAAGCACATCGCTGATGAAAAGTACTATTTAACCTATATAAAAATTAGATAATCTCTATAGAAATTAGCTAATAATATTAAATTTACTAACTAATTATTAATAAATTTAAATATTAATAAAATTTTTAATTAATTAATGAATTAAATTTATTAATTAATTATTAATATTGAATCTTTTAAATGCGACGGTCGTCAATGTAAACAATTTTATCATAAAGAATATTAAAATTATCTTAATTTTTGAAAGAATAGTATAATATATCATTACAATAGTCTCACATGTCGTTATATATATATATATATATATATATATATATATATATATATACATATGTACATTAACAAATATCTCAACTTTGTCAAAAAAAAGTACTCGCTGCAATTTTTATTTGCACTATATATATATTTATCCGTAGTACCACTATATATATATTTAGCATTTCTTACGACTTAGGTTTAAGCAATATATTTTTGCTTATTTTATGTCAACCATATGATTTTCGAAAAGTATTTGATAAGCTAATATGGTAGCTTTTTATTTAAAAATGTAGGATTTTTAAGTAACAAGGAAATGCAATTATATATATATATATATATATATATATATATATATATATATATATATATATATAATTTATCTATGATATCTCAAAAAATTTCGAACATCATTGCACAGTAATGATAAGATATGCTCTATATATATTACAAGGTATTTTCTCTTAAGTCATCTTAATATCTTTACAATTTGTATGATGCGCTATCGCGCATAATATATTGCATTTTGCGCTTCGAGGTGAATAAGACTTTATGATTTTTTATTGCGAAATTTAAAAATTTAATTACTGGCTTCTCATATTATTTGCGTAACAGCGTAACACTGTATCTATATTCTGATAAAATAGGATTACAAAAAATTAGAAAAAAAACGAAATGTCCATGTAATTTATTGTAAACGTATCATTAATTCGTTAAAATTACTTTAAAAAAAAATTAATAAAAAATATAAGAGGGCTAGAATTTCTTTATTTTATTAACAGAAAATATTATAAAAAAACAATATTATGTTAAAAAATAATTTAAAATCAATTAATTTATTTATTTTTTTCCACTAGGTCACTTTTTCCAACGTTTATTTTTAACAGAAAAATAAATAGATTTATTAATATATGTGTATTTGATACTTTCATTTGATTCGCAATGTTTCTTTTGCAGACATTAATAAACATATGTGCCGCTATTGTTATAATGGCACCAACGATGACTGTTGCTTACAGTGCCGTGGCGGAACCTGCGATGACAGCTCCAAAAACCGACGATTTACAACTTGATGCTGTTCAGGCAAACTGGATGGGTCAGTGATATAAAATTTGTCGAAAAATTCTTTACAATTACTTTCAATTATAGAAAAGAGAAATTTATTAATCTTCTTTACTAAAAATAAATATGTTACAGCTACCGCATCTGCGATAAGTATACCTTTTGGTTCCTTAATTTCGAGCCTCGCGTTAAGTCGAGGAAGGAAGATCGGATTATTCGTGACATCGTTAGTCTCACTGACGGGTTGGGTGACGATTTGCACATCGAACAGTTACGAGCAAATTCTGATAGGGAGAATAATTACTGGTATATCTGTGGGCTTGTCAGTCATTTCGACGACACTATATGTGGCGGAAATAGCGGAAACAAAGTGGCGACACGCGATGCTCTCGTCGATAAGCATATCTGGCAATTTCGCTATTCTCATCGTTTACATCTTTGGATATATTTTCAAGGTAAACTTGTTCACGAATTGTATTTAATCGATCTCGTATTTCTTTGATGTCATGATTTACTAGAAAATAATAATTAACTCTTATATAAACAAGCTTAAAAATTAAAGCTTGTTTAAAAATTCCGTAAATTAAATGTTATCATTATAGTTATATAATTATTGTTATACGAATAATGATGCATCCCCTTATAACCTGCATAACCCTTATAACTCCATTTTTTCTCTTAAAGGATAACTGGCGACTAGTAGCCATGATGTGTGGTCTATTCTCAGCGGTGGCAATTGTTTTAATTTTGTTAGTGATACCCGAGTCACCACTATGGCTACGGGATAAAAATCGAGCCGAGGAAGCGCTGGAGATCATGAAAAAGTTCCGCGGAATACCAAAGGACCAACCGGCTCCAGCAGAAGTTCTACTTGAACTGAAGCCGCGGCCACAGAAGAAAAATCAGAATCTGCTAAAATACCTGATAAAGAGAAATTCCCTGCTGCCATTCATCATAATAGTCAGCTACTTCTTTTTCCAACAATTCTCTGGAATCTATGTTGTCGTATATAACGCCGTTGAAATTATGGATAAATCTGGAATCCAAATAGATCCTTACATCGGCGCCATACTAATAGGTGTCGCACGTTTCATAGCCACTCTCGTAGTGGCCGGTTTGTCCCAAAAATTTGGTCGACGATTCCCGTCGATTATTTCCGGTATCGGAATGACAATTTTTATGGGCGGCTTGTCGCTCTATCTCTTCCTGATCGAAAACGGAACTGTAATATCAGATAACGGGATAATCCCAGTAGCATGTATGATGTTATTCGTCTTCAGCTGCACTCTGGGTTATATGGTGATACCGTTCGTCATGGTGGGCGAAATATATCCATCCAAAGTCAAGGACGTATTGTCCGGTTTGTCGATTGCTATAGGTTATATCTTTAGTGCAATAACTATTAAGACGTATCCAGACATGTTGAGACTGATGAGTATGCAAGGTTTATTTCTCTTCTTCGCAATTATCTCTTTATCCGGTGTGATATTCATCTTTTTATTTCTACCCGAGACAAAAGGAAAAACTCTACGCGAGATGGAGGATATGTACTCCAAGAAAAAGGTTCTTGAATTACCGACGGAAGGAGAAAAAGCTTCAAACACAACCTTATAAGAAATTAAGAATATTTATGAATGAAAGAAATAAATTATAGATTATTATATTACACAGATTATTATACACAGATTATTATATTAGTATTACGGGAAAGAGATCAAATCGCGTAATGTTGTCCTATTCATGAAATAAATGTCACATCGTTTTAAGATTCGAGATGCAATGATTCTGGCAATATAATTAAAGTAATGTGATGATACATTAATTATTTGAAATATGAAATCTCTTCTTACTAGATTTTTTATTATGTTATATATTTTATAAAGAATTAAAAAGTAGAAAATATAGATAAATATAAATCAACGTTTACAAAGAAAAAATTATCTTATCATCTGAATAAAATTTTTCAAAATAAAAACATAAACAGCATTATATATCGAAAATTATATCTTCATAATGGAAAATGTGCCCGCAAACTATGTAAACTTAAAAGTAATGTGTGATACGGAAGAAAGAACTTGTGTCATCGAAATAAGAGTTTTCAGAATAATAACGTAAACAGTATTACAAATCTTAGATTCATATGCAAAATGAGTGAATAGAGATTATATTTGTACTAGCTTGGAATTCTGATAAAAAAGATGTATGTAATCTCGAGAAAGATAAGATGACACACATATCAGATTATTTTATTAAAATCTACTATTTACTGTTTAATATTTTAAGCAAAGTTAAATTTTCGAGAAATAAAGCCTAAAGTTCCATAATATCATTGTATTGTAAATATATCTCATCGTGAAAATACAGATTAATGTGCTATCTTTATTGCTGATGATATTATACAATACATGCACTATATTAGAAATGTATAAAACTTATGTAAGACGTGTAATACGTAAAATCTATATAAGATTTATTTTCGTTATGGTACATTGCAATACTATTTAATTGAAATTATTATGAAATAACATTGAAATAAAACATGAATATAGTACCTAATATAAGTGTTATAGATAGGTCGCAATATTTTCTTTCCATTAATTCCTTATGTCAATAAATGTATGTTAAATTGATTTATTCTTTCCACGGTAAAACCCGGGCAAGACAGCATTAAAGCAGTGATAAAAATGGAATGTTAACCGATTCGCAACATTATTTATATATTCAACATTAAAGAGCTTTCTGTAATTGAATTTACTTCGCAATTAGAATCTCCATTTATATTGAATCATCATTTATATCATTTTATAAAGAATGTCTTTTGTATTATAACCATTTTTATTAAGTTATATACCTACTTTAGATTGTACAGATTATTTTGCAAATGATCGATTTTTTTTTTGTAAAACCTTAACATTTGTCAATTCTAAAGTTCCTTCAGTTTGTCGATTAAATTCAATTCATAATCAAATTTACAAATTCATATAAGCTATTAAAAATGTTAAAAATGTGTTACACATTTGATGATAATTTCATATGTAGATATACACATTCTGTGCATTCTATATAGAATCTCTCTTCGAGTTTTCTGAATGTCCGATTAGTCCACTAGGGCCATTGGAGAAAGAATTCACAAATATATCCCATATACAGGATCACCATTGTGTTGAAAGTAAACGATTTTATCTTTTCTTCTTGTTTTCGATCATTTAACACACTAGTGTCCAACATCTGAGACACGCAAATTTCATTTGAGCCGTTGTAGAAGCCAGTTTATGAGTATAAATGCGCTAAACTTTGACGAAAAAGTGTCTCTTATGGAGTGTTTCTTCAGTAGAGGCAAAATATATACTGAGACGTATCGTGGATAGTAAATATGGATCTAAAAAAGTTTCAAGCGAAACTATACTCACAATAGAAGATACGTTTTCTCTTTAAAATCGTGTTATTATCTTATCTATTTTACACGTTATGCTGATAATCTAAAATTTTATTTATTTTTCAATATTTTTTCGCAGGATTATTGATAATTTTCAAATGTATGTCACTTTGAATAATCGTAGACACGATTTACCCGGATCATCTTGTACCGTTAAAATTAATGAAGTCAGAGAATATTTCGAAGAAAATCCAAATTTCTCGATTCGTAAAGCTTCTCAGGTTATGAATTTTAAGGGAGAAATTCCGTGCCGATTCCGATAGACACTTTGAAAACATTATATTAGTTTACGCGCGAGCAATTGTCGGTCCCCTTTTTATGATGTTATTTAAATTATTAAAATATTATATATTTTTGTCATATAGGCATGGCAATAAAATTGACAAGTTTCTTCTATATTTATTATTCATCCTACTTATTGCAAAATTATAATCATTTACTTTCAACACATTTTCAATGATCATCCTGTATATAATCTCGCTACAATATATTTTGAAAATTTATTACAAGAACTTTTGTGTATATAAAATATTTTTGTGTATAATAAAATATTTCCGCAAATTTAATACGATCCTTTTAATCTTACAATTTATTTAATTATATTTACATAATCATTAACATAATAGTATTTAAATAATTCGTCTAATTTTAGAACAATTAATATCTCAGATTTAATTCACAATACATAAATGTATATTAGCGTGAAAAAATAGAGTTATGAAAAAAAGTTTTGAATTTAGACAATATATTGTTATTTTATGCTTATCGCAATTGTTCTCTTGTTTTTATACATAATAATTGGTTTATATCTTCCTTCTTTTTTTTTATAAATAAATCAGAACAATCTTGAAATGTGACGATAAATATTTATTATGCATTTCTTTCCACTAAAGTCATTATTAATCCTTTCGCTGCTATAGAAGCCTTTTAGGCATTTTGAAATTTTGGTAATTTTATACTGTTCGCATCTTAAGTCGTTCAAGTCCTTATCATCTGGTGCTATTGGCGCCTCTTTAGATATACTCAGTATTTATATTATCATTCTTCAAATATCTTCATACTTCTAACTGATACGCGAAAAGTTTCGCCATTTATAGCGATCACGGCTAAATATGTGCCGTCTATCAAGCACGCTTTGCATTAGACTTTATCTCAACGAAAGGATTAAAACAATTACTGTGTCTCATGAAACATTACGCACAATTGTATAATTATCATCTATTTTTTTTACATAATTATTTTTTAATATAAAAATAAAACTTTGTATATATATTTGATATTTACAAATGTTCAGCCACGATATGGTAAATTGTCATTCACGACACGAATGATCTCGGAATGAAAACAAGCTGTCGGGGATAAGTGAAATGTCTGCGTCATTTTCAATAAAATTCAATAACGAGTTTCCAGTCAACACTGGTCACGGTTTATATATCGCACGCTAATCGAACAGTTCGTGAATTTATTGATGTAACTACTCTACTAAGAGAAATATTTCTTCGCTAGAAGACGATCGATATTATATTTTACGGACTCCTCGATCTATTTTTAAAATAGGAAAGAGTCTTCCCTATCTATTGCTGTGCAACATACTGGATCGTCTTGATTTCGGGAATCGCCAGGAATCAAAATCCCGATTTGTCCGAGTCCCAATATTATCGAAAGGTAATCTTGATTCTCGTCATAACAGATAGTCTTTATCTCATCCCCATTCTATCCTTGTGAATCCGACTGAGTTACATGACAAAGACTGTCGAGATCGAGCGCGAGTAGGACGATATTTGCTCGCCTTTATTTACAAGCAGTAGTCATGAATGTTAAGAGAGAAAGTACTGTGTAATATAGCATCGAGTTAGTTATTGAATATTAAGGATTATAAACAGATGTAAAATTGTGAAACGTGAAAGAAAGTGCGAAAAGGAAGTGGTTTTTGTGAAGGGTGAAAAAGGATTGATGTTTCTAAAATCATAAATCATATTCTTTTGCTCAACAGCTGAGAAAATATTACTACATAAATTATTGTCATATTAATCTAATTAAAATTATTATTGTATCACTCGATTGATTAATAATCGAAAAACAAATGCATTGAAGGAGGAGACTATCATGACGAATGTAATAGATATTAATAACGCAAGTAGACGAATATTAACTGATATTAATGATGCAAATAGACAAACTGCCATTAATAACGCTAATGAGTTAATGAACGTTAATAATATCATGAATGAACAAATGGATGTTAACATTATAAATGAACACATGTCGACATGTAGACATGTAAACAAGATTACACACAAGGTACGTATATATTTCCGATCAAGTACAATAAGTCTGGATTTTGATGTCACAAATAAATTACCAAGTTATTTCTGGTGTTAGAATTTTAGTGTTCTTTATCTTTTTCTTCAGTTTCTCGATTATTGTTAAAAAAATTTCTTGCTATACAATGGATACATTATTTTTTTCGAGAATTAGAGAAAAATGATCTTCGTTTTTTCAAAAGTATTTACATTATTTTTCATTATCCAATTTTTCTTTCAGAAATCACCAAGCATTCGTCTCTTTTACTTTCTGTAAATCTCTTTCTGTAATTCCCTTTCTATTTTTTAATTAATTTTTAAAAGATATTTATTTTTGAAAGATGTTATTGCATTATTTGCATTACGATAATACGCTTCAGAGTTCAGTAAATTTCATTGACCATTATCAAACAATTTAGGTAGGCTTTATAGTATGAGCTGATAAATGCGTACGATACGCATACTCCTACCGAGTAAAAATATGTTTATTCAGCTATTACATTTGGATATTGTTAGAATATTGTTTCATAGTTTTCTATTTATCTTAAAATTTAATATATAGATTATAGATTTTATGATTACAAAAGAATACTACAAAAATTTTAAATAATGTGATATGGAAACGCAAATGATTATCTACAAACTTTATTAATTTTGTCTTTTTACAGATAGAATCCAACATTGCCAAAGAGAAAAAATGGAAACGAAATGGAGTAATTTATCAAGTATATATTAAAATTTTTCTTATATTTTTTGAAAATAATATTACATTACAATTTTTTTTAATTACATTTACCTTAAAAAGCAAAGATAAAGATTTAAAGTATTACTTCATAATGACAGATTATAATATCACTTATCAATTATTATATATACAAATTAAATTTAATAATTAATTATTAATCTTTAATTTATTAAATGCGGTGACCGTGAAATTAAACAATTTTATAATAAAAAATATTAAAATCAGTGTAATTGAAATACTAATATTATATTTATTAAAGTAAAATACTAGTGTTTCAAACGTGATACTTATTTTAATAAGTAATTAATAAATTTAATATTAATATGTTAACAAATATCTCAACTTTATAAAAAAAAATATTCGCTGCAATTATTATTTGCACTATGATATATTAATCCGTATTTGCATTTCTTATGATATAAGCTTAAGCGATGTATGTTTTCCCATTTTATCAAACAAAATAATTTTCGAAAAGTTTTAGTTAAGCTACTATTGCAGTTTTTCGTACAAAAATTTGGGAATTTTGAACAACAAAAAAAGGCAATTATTTACATATGTATACATATGGTTTATCCTTGATTTCTCAAAAAATTTCGAATCTCAGTCATTGCACAGTAATGATAAGATACCCTCTATCGATGTTACAAGGTATTTTTTTTCTGACAAACATCTTAATATCTTTAAAATTTTTATGAAGCGCTATAAATACAACACATTTTGTGCTTCGAGTTGAATAAAACTCTATGATTTTTTATTACGAAATTTTAAAGTTTAATTATTGGCTTCTAATATTATTTGCGTAACAACATAACACTGTATTTATCTTCTGATAGAATATGATTAGAAAACATTAGAAAAAGAACAAAATGTCCATGTAATTTATTGCAAAAATCTTATTATTCGTTAAAATTACTTTCGAAAAAAAAAATATAAGAGAACTAGAATTTCTTTATTTTATTAAAAGAAAATATTATAAAGAAAAATAATATTATGTTAGAAAATATTTTATCAAACTTATTTATTTCTTTTTTTTCCAACAAGGCATTCTTTCCAACGTTTGGTTTTAACAGAAAAATAAATAGATTTATTAACATATGTGCGTTCGATACTTTTGTTTGATTCGCAATGTTTCTTTTGCAGATATTAATGAGCTTATGTGCCAATGTTGTTGAAATAGGTACAATGGTGAGTTTTGGTTATAATGCCGTGGCGGAACCCGTGATGATAACTCCAAAAACCGATGATTTACAACTTGACGCTGTTCAGACAAACTGGATCGGTCAGTGATATAAAATTTGTCGAAAGGTTCTTTACGACTTTCGATTATCAAAAAGAAAAATTAGTATCATCCTTTTCATTATTTACTAAGAATTAATCTGCCGCAGCTACTGCATCTGCGTTAAGTATACCTTTTGGTTCCTTAATTTCGAGCTTCGTGATAAGTCGAGGAAGGAAGATCGGCATGTTCGTGACATCGTTAATCTCACTCACGGGTTGGGTGACGATTTACATGTCAAATAGTTACGAGCAAATTCTGATAGGGAGAATAATTACCGGTATATCTACGGGCATGTCAGTGATCGCGGCGACTCTATATGTGACGGAAATAGCGGAATCAAAATGGCGAGGCACCATGGCCGCGTGGATCAACATTTCCGACAATATCGCTGTTCTCATCGTTTACATCTTTGGATATATTTTCAAGGTAAACGTGAATTAATTCATGAATTGTATTTAACCAATCTCATATTTTTCTGTTGTCATAATTTATTAAGAAACAATAATTAACTCTTATCTCAAGGTTGAACCTTAGGATTTGTTTAAAAATTTCGCAAATAAAATGCTATCATTATAGTTACATAATTATTGTCGTATGATATATAATACGAATGATGATGCATATAATTCTTATAACTCCATTTTTTTCCTTAAAGGACAATTGGCGACTAATAGCTTTGATGTGCGCTCTATTCCCAGTAGTGGCGATTGTTCTGATTTTGCTAGTGGTATCCGAGTCACCACTATGGCTGCGGGATCAGAATCGATCCGAAGAAGCGCTGGAGATCATGAAAAAGTTCCGCGGAATACCAAAGGACCAACCGGCTCCAGCAGAAGTTCTACTCGAACTGAAGCCGCGGCCACAGAAGAAAAATCAGAATCTGCTAAAATATCTGATAAAGAGGAGTTCCTTAGTGCCATTTGTCATTATGATCAGCTACTTCTTTTTTCAACAATTCTCCGGAATCTTCGTTGTCATATATAACGCCGTCGAGATTATGGATAAATCTGGAATCCGGGTAGATCCTTACATCGGCGCTATCCTGACAGGTGTCGCACGTCTCATAGCCAGTCTTCTAACAGCCGGCGTGTCCCGAAAATATGGTCGAAGAATTCCATCGATGGTTTCCGGTATTGGGATGACAATTTCCATGAGTGGTTTGTCGCTCTATCTCTTCCTGATCGAAAACGGAACTGTCATATCGGATAACGGGATAATCCCAGTAGTATGTATGATGTTATACGTTTTCACCAGCACTCTGGGCTATCTGATAATACCGTATATCATGGTAGGCGAAATATTTCCATCTAAGGTCAAGGATGTACTGTCCGGTCTGTCGGTCGCTATAAGTTATCTCCTCAGCGCAATAACCATTAAGATATATCCGGATATGTTGACATTGATGAGCATGCAAGGCGTATTTCTCTTCTTCGCAATTATCTCTTTAATCGGCGTAATATTCATCTTTTTATTTTTACCCGAAACAAGAGGGAAGACTCTGCGGGAGATTGAGGATATGTTCTCCAAGAAGAAGATTTTTGAAATACCGGCGGAAGAAGTAATCGGAGAAGAAGTTCTATAGTAGATGTGGTCCGCTAAGAAATTAAGAATATTTATGAATGAGAGAAATAAATCACGAATTAATATTACTATTAAATATGTAAAGGAAGATGAGATCAAACCACGCAATGTTGTGTGATTGATGAAATAAATGTCACATCGTTTTATGATGTTTCGAGTTGCAATGATTATAATAGTATAATTGAATAATAAAATGACTATTTATTTGACACATATGTATATATATGATATCTCTTCTTAATATTCTTTTTAGTATGTTAATATTTGATATACTAATTATATTTAATAAAGAATGATAAAGAATTTAAAAATTAGAAAATATATGGTGTTAACAAAGAAAAAATTCAAATGATCTTGTCATCTAAAATTTTCAAAATGAAAACGTAAACATTATATATATAAGTATTATATATCGAAAATATATAATTTCATATGCAAAATGTAATCGCAAATTATGTAAACTTAAAAGTGATATGTATTATGAAAGAGAGAACATTTGTCACTAAAATAAGAGTTTTCAGAATGATGACATAAACAATATTACAAATCTTTTTATTCTTACCTGAGACAAAAGGAAAAACTCTGCGCGAGATCGAGGATATGTTCTCCAAGAAGAAGGTTGTTGAATTATCGAAAGAAGTAGTCAGAAAAGAAGCTTTAGATATGGCGGTCCGCTAAAAGATTAAGAATATTTATGAATGAGAAAAATAAATTACAATTTAATATCAATATTTTATCTGTTTCCGTTAATCATCCTTATATCAATAAATGTAAGTTAAATTGAATTTATTCTTACCGCGATAAAATTCGGATAGACAGATTGACGCAGTGATAAAAATCAAATGTTAATCGATAATAAATATAAAAATATTTGCGTGTAATATTATTTACATATTCAACATTAAAGAGCTTTTTGATGTTGCGGTTGATTTTACTTCGCGATTCGATAATATCATTTTTCTAACAAATATCTTTTATAAGTTATGTCTCTACTTTATTTCATACAAATTATTTTGCGGAAAATCAAGGAATTTTGTAGAACTTCAAAATTTATTTTAAAGTTCTCCAGAAGTTTATCGATTAAATTAATTCATAATCACAAATTTACAAATTTATGTAGCTATATTTTAAAAATGTATTATACATATGACGATGAAAATACATACGTATTACATATGTACATATATAAATGTCTCTCGTATTTTATTATTAAAATCTTAAATAATAAATTAACAAATTGTGTAACAATCATGATAATTAAATAACAAACACAAAATATACAATTTGTGCAGCGTGAAGTATAAATGGGACTCGATGGAGAAACAAGACGAGATGATTATCATGATTACTGACAATAATAAAAGATGATAATAATAATATAGTAAATGATATAATATATAATATAATATATAATATATAATAATAATAATATATAGAATAATTGTAATATGTAATAATAATTAACGCGTAAATATATCTAATAGATGTACAATAATCAAAATAAATTATTACCTGCGAGGTAGTACAGGAAGAGAAATATTATCTGTCAAAAACCAAGAATTTTCGAACATTTCGAGAAAACACCGCTGTGTCTTTGCAATTTTATTTCTCAACGCGATCGCTTACTTTTCTCTCCTGTCTGCTCATATGCCCCTAAAATGAAATTATTTCGCATCCTCCTATTTTCGCATCTATTTTTTTACGTCACGAGATTTTTAAGCGACGATATATAACGAAGATAGGGAAGTACATGCGCGTGTTTTAATTTAATAACGCTACAAGAAGAAGAAGAAACTAGAGCGAATTGTACTACGCAAATTTACGTGCGTGAATAATATAAAATTCGCGCTTCCCTATCGTGAAAATAAAAATAAAATCTTAAGTTTTCGAGTTGAAAAGTGCAAAGCTGAAATCCCCCGCAAAACTCATTGTTGCGAATACATTTTAAAGCATGTAACAAAACTGCGCATTCCTCCAGAGATAAATGCCACTTGATACACGTTTAAACTCGAAGGTGCTAATGTGTTCAGTCTTCTTCTTCTTCGATTATCTTTAAATATTAAACCGAAGTTATATATATGCATGAATCGTCCGGACTTTAGCCCTAACACTCTCTCTGTTGTGATATCCCTTTTGTTAATATATGTGTAAGAACGAAAGAGATCTTATTTTAATGAGCATTCGCTAAATAATAAACGAGGCATGATGCTCTCTCTAAAACAATTTTCGTTCATGATCGAAACTTAATGATCACTTATCATTTGAATATCATATCATTTGAATATCATATCAGAGAATATCGTAAATTTGATAGCTTTTTTTACGACAATTCATCACTGCAATCTTTAATCAACTGAGAAATTAAAGATCTCTTAATATAAATTAGCACACGACATTAAAATTTCAAATTTGAGAGAAAGAGAGAGAAAGAAAGAGAGAATTGACATTAAATTGTTCGCTTAAATCAATTATCTATCTACTTATCTACAATACTTTTCAAAATAAATCAAATCGTATAACTCCCATTTAAATCCAGATCCTATAAAATATAAGATAATTAATATAATACAAAATAATTAAGATAATAAAGATTTAATTTTAGTAAGATAATTAAAAAAGATCGAAACTGAGCTCCGTGCATTTTTGCGCCTAAAACATGAGTCGAGGAGCGATCCAATTAGCTATCTTAACGATCTAGTAATGTCAGTAAAGCTCTGTCGACGGAAATCGAATATCTTTTATTCGTTCCCGAACCTAACGTATTCCCATATCCCTAACATCAGTAAAGCTTCGTTCAAATCAAAAGCCTCTTTTTAGCTGCTGGGTCTTCGCAATATTTCATAAAAACTCCGCCGAAACGCATGAAACGCTTACGTCAGGCCTCTATCAAGCGTTTGACGATATCGAATGTCGTCTTTTGAATCTTCGATTTAAGCATTCGATTTATCGTTGATGTGATCGGCGGCGAAGTTTTTGGAAGCCCAGCTCGTGATCGAGTCGACAAGTGTCGAATCTTATTTTCGATTATTCGACGAGAAATCGAAACCGCATTCCGATTTCATCGACTCGACCAGATTCGCTTTTCCCTCTGCCCACTCTACCGTCTCTTGAAGTGGAAGTTGAAACTCTTTTCTGGAAGCGCCAGATTGCCGATAGGAATCTTATAATTCTCCTTCTCTACCGGCACTATGTTGAAATTCTTCAACAAAGTGGCTATTGTTGAGAAGCTGATGTACTGAACCATTTTGTAGCCCATGCAAGATCTCCGACCTCCGCCGAACGGTAGGAAGTGCTCCGGTTTCAAGAGTTTACCATTCTGCACGAATCTCTCTGGCATGAACTCCTTAGGAGATGTCCACAGTTCCTCCGACATATTTAGATCATAGTTGTTCAGGAAAATAAATGTATCCTTCTCAATCTTGTAACCTGTAATAAGGAATTAAATGAACTTAATAAAATTCGCAGAATTTCAGACAATTCATACATTTGTCGCAAATATTCATCGATATAAAGCTAATGATCGATAAATTTTATCACGATTTTGAAAGAGGCGATATAAGCTATGTGGCATTTAATGACGTATCGTAAAGAAGAGAGAAAATTACTCACCGGCCACGGAACTGTCTTGATTAGCCACGTGCGGTACGATCGGACTGGCGATCAGTCTGATGGCCTCGAGGATGATAGCTTCCGTGTATGGCATCTTTCCCCTATTTTCCAGACCGACAAATCTGCCCGGAGTCTCGACGCTGTCGATTTCCATCTGCGCTGTTCTCTGCACGTGCGGTCGAGTGACCAGGTATCCGAGTATCTTGACAAGAAGATTGCCGACAGCCGAGTGACCTCCTACGATGTCCTCCAACGCGAACATTGCTATGTCCCAGGACATCTTAGGTTCGGCATCAGTTTTGATGTGATTGAGCAGACAGTCCACGTAATCTTCTTCGGGTATAGTCGACTTCCAGTTGGCCAGACGGTCTCCGACGACATACTTCTCCATAAATTGCTTGACTGCGTGAGTCCAATTGATCATCCTCGTCATATTTTTCTGATGCAGCGGCATCAGGAATGGCATAAAGTCCGCGGCATAGCCTTGGTTCACCTCGTAGAACACCTTGTCGAAATTCTTGATCATCTCGCGGAAAGGAACGTCGCCGAGGGGGAAGCTACGCGAGCAAAAGTACTTGAGGAAGACGTTCGCGCATGTGTGCATGATCAGCGGCTTGGCGTGAAGGGTTTTACCGGCAATGCCGTTGAGGTAATCGACCAATAGCTCTACCTCGGCACCGATGATGCCATTCAGTTGGTTAAATCGCGTGGTGAAGGCACGAGGGAAGGTGTGCGCTCGCAGCATCTCTCTTCGCGTCTTCTGAACGTCCGACCAGTTGCAGAACGCCAGAGCTGCGGAAGAAGAAATTCGTACATGCATCTCAATCTGTCTCGTTGAAATATATTTGCACATGTTTGAAGGAAATATGTAAAAATATATATCATTAGATATGTAAAAAAAAGAAAAGAGATCACTTTTCAGATATTTACATATTATATATATTTGTTAATATAATGTATAGTTTCTTCGACTAGTTTCGCTTTTCATTATATGATGATTTATAACAACTCGCAACGGAAACAGCTGACGTTGGGACATCATGATAGCGAACATACCTATTCCACGAACGCATCGCGGCTCAAATTACCGAATCAAGCGGCGACGTTGAACTTGACCTTGTTTCTGCGAGTAACGACTCATTTCAAAACGTCATCGATTTGCAAGAGAAAAATTTGTCGACGTATGCTCCCTTTCTACTGCGAACGCACAATTATGCGGCATCGATTCTCATAGCGGCCGATACGCTCGATATGAAATCGAAACGGAAGAGGGACGACAGCAGGAAGTGACCCGGTTTTACGCCCGAGAATCTGAAGAGCGATATTACGACGGCATATATTATTAAATCAGAATCAAAGAGAATTAAGGCATCTCGAAAAATGTCTTGCTTGACTAATTTTTAATATTTTTCTGATACATCCTTGATTTCTTAATTATGAAAGATATATAAATATTATTATATATATATATATATATATATATATATATATATATATATATTTATTTATTTTATTTTTAAATAGATTATCATAAAAAATAAATTTTTAAAACATTTATTATGGGATATAAAAAAATCAAGAAATTGACCAGCAATTTATTATCCGCGATATACGACAAACAGATCCTAGCCAGATGATTATATTAAAATAAATGGATTTGCTATGTAATCATAGAGAAATGAACGAATAGAATGATCCAAAGAGTTGAATCGATCTTCTTGGATCGCGATGTACAATGACAGTGCGCTTTGATGATAGATTACTCTTGATCCTGTTTGTCGGATAAACCAGGAACGCGTGAAAGTGGTACCGTGACCTTTCCGGCTGCACTTGGTACCGCTTCTCGCGCTGACCTTAGCACGAGTTTCGGCGCGGACGGCACGAACGAAAATGCGCGACGCGAGGGAAATATGCGAAAATATCGAGCGCATACGGTACGCGTGATTATATGCGTAAGTCGCTCACGTGTCTCGTGCGCGACACGCAGCAAGGTCGTTAGCATGAAGAGCGCTCTTTCGGGGGCTTCTGACAAAGCTTTGACAAGTCAGGACTTGCTATATCGATGAATATATCCGCGCAATCAGCGGAAGGATAAATCGCGAACGGTAAATTACGACGATCAGCTGAAATTTTCTCTGATCTCCCTGATGATGCGATCGGTCGACACGAACTGCTAACCGTGACCTAAAGCGCTGAGAGAGTGATTCGTTGCGGTTGCACGAGCGTAATCGATCTCTGTTTCGACCAAGCGATCCGAGAATTTTAACTGACACCCCACTAGTTGCTCTTAATTATTTTTATACGCAAAATTATCTCGGCCATGTCCCGCTATTTTTCGCTTCCTCGGCAAGAATTAAAAGACGGAAAAGTTATTTGTTGTTTCAAGAATATATTTGTTATTTTTCGATTTTTTTATTTACACTGTCGAAATTTTAATTATTATTTTCCTAACAATTAATCGATATTATTATTAGAATTTTAATTCCTTTTTGAAATAAAGAATAAATTTGAAATTATTTTTGATCGCAAAAGATACATAAAATAAAATACTTACAATTCTCTTTGTTACCGAAGAGAAGATGATATCTGATAAAGTTGGGGCGAGAATCAAAGTGATGGCCCTTAGCGATCAGGATTTCCTTGATATTCTCCAGTCCATTGACGACGACGCAGGGTAGGGAGCCCATCTTAAGTTTGATCACCTGGCTGTTGTAGATCCTGACGAGATCAGCAAAAGCCTTGTAAGGCACATCGTAGCGTCCCAAGATATGAAGAGAACCGATGATCGGCCAGGGCTTGGGTCCCGGGGGATCCAGTAGAATAGATGGCTCCTCGTCTTCGTACAACTTCTTTGGCCTCTTTCTCGATTTGATGTGATCCACCAGGATCAAGATCAAAGCCACAAGGGTGACGACGAGCAAAAAGTACGTCGTGGCGCTGATAGAGATCATTCTTGGACACAATCACAAATTTCTCCACTAAAAAATACTCGCTTTCCTTTCTTACGATGACCCGGAAGAGTGCTTCTTAATGATGAGTTTTTCCGAATTTAAAATCTCTTTGGAAATAAATTTTTCTTGGATCGAGACGCACGTGGATCTTGATGGTTCGCCTGCTCCTGAATATCGACGAGACAATTTTTCGACTCTAACCTTGGATAATCTATCGCTTACTTCCCCAGAAAAATATCAACGCTATCGTACGTGTCGATTGATCAGGACGCAAGCTCCTTGTGGGTCCGTCTGTGAACGGTCCGCCGATCTGGCTCGGTCTGTGGGGATAGGATGGTTGCCCGGCTATCTTATATAGCCGGGCGTAATGTAGTCAGCACATTTGCGTCGAGCACTGTACGCCTCAACCCCATACATATGGATTCGTGTTGAGACGAAGTGGGTAGCGAGGAGAAGGAAGAGAAGAAGGAGGTGACAGTGGAGGAAGAGGAAAAAGAGGAGGAGGAGATGGACACTCTCGTAAAACGCAAGAGCTGTACCCTTCTGCCTTTACTTCGACGGAAACGAATTTCAAGAAAACCTGAAAAGAGACATACTCGCTTTACGCGGGTTGGTAGGACCCGCGGCAGGATCCGTAGAGCGGAGGGAGAAGGGAGCTGGAGGGAAGCGGATGCGCCGGCGGAGGGATGATCGCGAGGTTGTCGGAGAAGAGAGAGGAGGAAAAGGGCCCCCGGATGATGGAGCAGGGAGCAGGGAGCAGCCCATAGGTAGTAGGGGCGGGTGGAAGAGAAGAGGGGAGCAGAATCATCTCTTGGTAGGGCCTCCTGGGCAAAGCAAGGGACACTTCTTGCCCTCGACTTCTCTCCTTAAGGTGCCATCGAGTTTTCTGGCAGCCAAGATGGTGGTGTGCGTACTCGCCTCGACTCGATTCGACGGAAATTATTCGACGTACTCGAATGTATTCACCGGATCGGGGGGAATTGGCGATCGACGGTAATTCGCTTTTGATACACCGCGGGGTACGTGGACGGAGAATGAAGTTTCGTTTTTCACGAGGCGGTCGGCTGATACGACTGGTATGATGTCATGGTTGAACGTTTTGATAAGTATGTGGGAACCGAGTCGTATTGCAAGAAGGTGGACGTGCATCGAAGATGCATCGAGAGAGAAGTAAGAGGAACCAGATACGTGACTGTCTGTATTTTTACCGGAAACAGAGGAGTCACGGAGCCGCTTTTTTTATATCATCCAAGCTCAATCACACAATGCATATAAATTAATTTTATATCGTATCATTGGGATCATATAAATTATTCTATCATCGCGTTGAAAGAAATTTTTCGAGTTAAAAGAATTATATTTGATTATATTTCATCTTGATTTTAGAAGGAAAGAAATATTTTATTGTATAACTTTTTCTTGATATCTGAAATTTTCATGCGTTATCAGGCTTGTTTGGGGCGGTAGACTTTGTTTACGTCTGGAACGATTTTTCTCATCGGGAAAAATAAATCGGTCGATCTTGAATCCGAAATCTGTCTCAGCAGGATGTTGAATAGCGTTATGTAACTGTGAGACAACTATGCGAATGCATTTCGTTCGACGAGACGGAAGTGAAATATACAATTCCAATGATGTCTTCTTTTCCTTTCATCCATATTAATTTAGCTTATCAGCGTAGATATTATTTACGAAGGACAAACGAATTTAATCATTCTTCTTTTCTTTGATATAATAATTATGAAAGTGAACGCAATTTTTAAAGAAAACGCACTTACGACATGTATTTGTGCAATTATGTCGATAAGAAGAAATCAAGAATTCAAATTTTTCTTTTCAAATTTAATTGAAAATATCTCGGCATTTCTTATCCTAGGCGTAAGCAGAAAATGCAAAGTTGTCATAACGAAAAACACACTCTGCGATCTCGTAAAACCTGTGTGTTCGCTACTAACACTAAATCCTCGTATTTCGTTTTCGTCACGGTTCTCGAACGGAAATCGGGGGGAAGGAGAGACGTAATAAGAGTCGAAAATATTTCGGTAAAATAATCTTAACGGAATACTAAAAATTTCACATCGCAATACGATCAAAGATATTCATTATTTGGATGAGGAAGTATACGCAGGAGGAATATCTCGAATTTGTTTGAATTAATGAATAAAGCATAAGTATATACAGTGATAGGTGCGTATGTGTCTGTCTCTCCCCTCGCCGAGACGGGGGGAGAGGGGATCCTTCCGTGGTCCGCGTAGCTCAGACGTGACACACCCCTCCTCCCCACCGGTCGGTGCCGCGATTTTTTTCCCTCTCACTCGCCGCGACAGTAAAGAGATTACTTCATTCGTATCGACTGGCATTATCGAGAGTTGATTTCTGGGAAGCTAGCGGTACCGGTCTCTCTGACCGTCGCTGCTGCTACCGTCTCAGCTCACCAAATCAACTCTAGAGACGAGGCGCGTAACGGGAAAGTCATCTCCTCTTCGAGCGAAGCCGCGTTCCCGTCGTCGCTATTATCGTCGTCGTCGTCGTCGGGGCGATTTTTCATTTCGCTTTCGTACGCGATCTCTCTCGCGGCCCCCCGTCGCTTGATTAGCGCACAAACCTGTTCGAGGCAAACGTCACTTATCGCGTATTTTCTCTGTCATACATTGGGATTCAGGAGAGAACAATTTATCTCGCGAATCTCAAATTTTCGATCGATCTCTCTTCCTCTCCTCTTGCATCGTTTAATTATTCAACACGATTATTTTTATCCTACGAGTTATTTTTGTACCTCTGTCGCATCATGTCTCGTGTCTCTTGAGATCCTCGGCGGAAATTTTTAATGGCAAGATAAATAAAAAAATTGTGCTATCGTTGCGCGAATGTTATTTTTGGTATCCCTCGGCCGCCAGTCTGACTAGCACGGAATCAACCGTTAAATTCGTAGAATACGAACGTCTCTTCTGCGCAATCTTTTTATCGGCTTGATCTTAATCTCGCACGGGAACGCCTTGAGATTGCGAACAAAACGCGCAGTGGAATCGGTAGTTCGCTCACAGGGCTACGAGCTGTTTATGTGAGGCCGATTCGATTCATTATTCCGTGAGGGCCGGCCCCTCACGAAGGACCCCGACGACCAAAAATCGAGGCTACTTCGATTAGCAATGAGACGAGACCAAATGTCTCGAACCTCCGTATGCCGTTTTACAACGTCAATCACTCGCCTCGAGTATGATCGTAGGCTTTAATTTGAGATTTCGTGTAAGACATGACTGCGAACGAATAATTTTATCACGAATTATTTATGTAAAAATAAGAATAATTCCTAATTTTGGCAAAAAGTACTTACAATGATTATATTATATTTATTTATCGCAAAAAAATATATATTTGTGTGTCCAAGCAATTAAAATTTACAATTGAAGTTAACAAAATTATGTTTATAATTAAGAAAAATCGTTAAATATATATAATTCTGAGATCTCTCGCCAAATGAAATGTCAATCATGCAGATAATTATTGCAGATTGAAAGAAGATGCAGAGTTAAAGTAAGCGAAATAAGTAACTCGATGACACACTTTTGTCAAGAACTTTGGCAGCAATGAAGGACGAATCGAAATAACACGATTATACACTGCTTGAATCCATTTTGCTTACTATATTTATACGTCTAAAATTGATAACAAGAGAACATTATAAATCGAAGTAAAAAGAATCCTTTAAAAAAATTTTTCAATAAAAAAGTCGGACACCATTAATTGCTTTAATTTATTAGGGAGTAACCGTACAAAGTCATCCTTGATAATCGGATTTATTTTCATTGCATCAGCGGTAAATCTTTAATTACGTCCTTTCCTTGGAACGATGTAAGCCAGGATTAACACGCGAGGTTTATTTCTGGCGGATTTTGATCGGTGACACCGCCAATCTCTAAAGATGTGTGGACGATAAAAAAAAATGCGGCAGAGATATATTCCGAGGTGGCCGGATACGAAGGCGACCAGCGCCAAAAAATCAAGGTTACAACCGGATTAGCAATGAATAAGATCGGTAGCGGGATGATGGTTGCCCATCTTGCAATCCGCCTGGTCCATTTGCCTAAACTTGTAAAACGTTGGAGGAAGCACGATTCTCCGGATAAATCATAGCCACCGTTGGAACTAGGTTGGGGACACTTAAAAATCCGTTTCTTCTCCGAGTCCAAGGATCACCCGTCCCCTCCGATGATCGGCGTTTCTGCGCGTCACTTAACGCGGATGAAATTCCTCGTTGTTCTCTAACGCGCGTGAATACTATGTCGACTTCCGATTACGACACGTCTTCGATTTATCTGTGAATCCTATTTGAGAGAGAATATCGCTGCGAGATAAACATGCTCCAAAGATATTTTCGCATTATTCCCAACTCTGCCACGTGTTATTCACAAGCAAGGTCCCTTTAGATCCGAACTATTCTCTTCATCAACGGGGAATTTACCGTCCAACTTTAATAAAAACTGTTCGAAAGAAATTTCAACTTCGCCGTCTACGGGAAATTCGCATTATTTCATGATTTCTGTTCGCTCCGTCGAGAAATATGATTTTGTATTCCATCAACGTCGATCAGAGAACGATTCATCGAATTATCATGTCGGTAGCGCGCGATAGATTCGCCAGGAGAAAAAAGGAAGCGGGTGTCCGTATGCAAATGTACAATATAAATGGACAAAAGAGAAAGAGAAAGAGGGAGACGGAGACGAATTGCCGGAAGGTAAGCGCATGCAGATTAGCAGGCGCCGATTCGCATTTGGAGAGTCGCCGGCGAATGTTACGCAAGAAATTATTGAAAATGTAACGGGCCTCCCTCATCCCCCTTATCCCGGGCGAAATCGGGCCACGCACATACGCGTGATAACTCTCGGAGACGCGTCTCTCTCGCTGATCTGCATGCAGCGGTCGCGTTGCGCTCTAACGGTCAAGAGAGACCTGGCTTTTACATAAGCGCGGATAAAACGCAAAACGAGGCGAACGGGAACAGATATTCCGGTCGATGGATATTGGCAATTGCAAAATTCGCGACGGATACATTTATGGAGAGGCGGCGGATCTCCTTGCGTCTCCACCCCCCCCGTCCTCTCGTCTCGTGCGAGTTAACCGTTCTCGGAGAGTCACACGAATCGTTAACAACCACGACCACATACGTTAGACATGCTGATGCCGATCGAAGGTAAAAGTTTTTTTACGTCTAGATCGCGTTGCGCGAGAAATAATGGACACGGGGAGATTCGAGCCACTTTACGCGAGTCAGCGCGTTCCGCAAAAATTCTTTCTCCCAATTTTCAAGTTGTCAAGGCACTTTTGAAGGCGAGCGGAATTTCGACGAGTCGCGTAATTTGATCGAGCGCGATTCAAAGTCCGATGGAAAAAAAAACCTGACACTTTGTCGGCAGCTTTTTATTAAAAAAGACTGACGCTTCAATTTTTTAATATTTTATCCTTTTGCCAAGAAATTTCAAATCAGTTTCTCTTTTAATGTCATCACAAAATCGATTTCGAATGATATCGAGAATAACATTGAAATAGAATATTATTTGAAAATTACAAATATTAATATTATAAATATCATTTGAAGAAAACACATGATCATGTCCATTCTGTCCAATTACCAACATTATACATTTTCATGAGTTAAGCTTCACAACTCATGAAAAATTAAAATTTTATTAATATTAAAACACTCGGATAATACGAAGAAGGGATAATGCAACTGCTTGCCAAGGTATTGCAATGTATCGACGCTACCTAAGTCATTACTGAAGCGTCTCGCTCGTCGATCGCGAACGCGGAATCAATTACGTCAAAGCTCACTCGTAACCGAGTAAATGAATAGGTATTTGGTTCTAGATCAGGCCGATGCGAAGATTTGCATCGTCGTAACGGAGCTTCGCCGCGAATCGGAGCGAGAAAAAGTGACAACGACAAAGAAGTAGTCCACGTACTTCTCGCTGTCTGCAACTTTTCGATTTGTCTTTCTTATCAGAGACAAGACAGAATATCTTTTTATTTATGTATGCATTTATGTATTTCTAATTGCACGTAAATATATTTTCTTTCTTCACTAATTTCTTCTAAGTTTTTCTGCAAAAAATTTTTACTGTATAAATTCTTCTTCTTGTACTAAATTTTTCTAGTATACATTAATTAGTATAATTAGTATATATTAACAGTAAGTTATTAGTATATATTAATAGTAATTAGTATGTATCAACTAATTAATATATATTAACAACAA